TTGCTTCCTAAAAGTTAATACTGGCTCACCGTAGGTTTTATGGGAACTGCCCTCCTGTGAAGTTATGACTCAGTCAAACTGGCATAGAAAGGGCACATGTTCTAATTCTTCCATGCTAAGGCAAGTAAAAGATGCATTAACAATCTTCCTGCTTATCAAAATATAGTACATGATACACGTGGTTATTTGTCCAGTGCATTGATTTGATCCAATTAACAAGAAACTGTGATGGACTGTTCTGGACGAAAGCATCTCCAAAACACTGCAGTGAAGAAAACGGTAACAATTCCCCGTGTGACACCAAGAGCACGAGAAGCACGACCCTGCCTGAACAGTCCGGATGAGGCAGGAGAGTCCCCAGAGCCAGATCCTGCTCGAGGGGTCCCACACAGCAACCCGCGCAGCAGCTGAGCAGAACAGAGCAGCACGCCAGTCACACTGGCTTTAGGCCCTCTGCAAGAAGGCAGCACCACCCTCCCCTCCCCGCTTCACACAGCCCAGGGGCACAAGTGCTGTGGACGTGGGCACACTTACCCAGGCACGCAGACGGCTGAGCTGTAGAGCTGGATTCTCTGCTGCTTCAGTTACTGGTAGATACTGGAATTGAGACAGGGCTTCAAGCAAGGCTCTCACCGGCAAAATGCTAACAAGGGCTGCTTGGGCAGGGTTGGTGGGAGTTAATGTTATAAATGGAGCTTATAGAACTTTGCAGGAGTGGAAAACCCCTCTTGCTCCCTCCTCTGCAACATTTAAATAACTTAATACACTATCATTCATAGCATAGGACACTATTGTTCTAAAGATGTTTTCCTTGCCCTCTTACCTCCAAAAATTGTTTTGCTTCCAAAATTGTGCTAATACCGATCCAGAATCCCAAGTTTTAAATGCTGGACAACTCTACAACACTTAGCTTATTAAAAAAAAAAAAAAAAAAAAAAAAAAAAAAAAAAAAAAGAGAGACAAACAGTGAGTTCAGTTGAGGCAAAGATACTTTAAAAAAAACCCAAAACCAACCAACCACCATCACCAAAAAGAAACCCAACAATAAGAAGCCAGTACCATGCATAGTATACTTGAGTCCAATTTGGATTTTAAACCATTCCTAGGGAGACCTACTTTTACTATCCACAGTAAAGATTTTTGAGAAAATGAGATCTTTGCTGTGGAATTAATAATAGATCTATGCAGATTGATATTCCCAGGAGATAAAGAGAAAGGGAAAAATATTAAAAACTGATGCTACTGGCAAATGAAAAACTAATGGACCATATTTTCCCAAAGGGATTGGAGGTGCTTTCATTTTATTTCACTCTGATGACTATGCGAGACCAGCCGTAATAGTTAACTCTCAGGGAGCACCATTTCCAGATAAATGGAAACACATTGAAAATTTCATAGAGAATGTGGAGGACAGCATAAGTCATCACATCCCAAACCCAAAGAGAACTGAATGGTTGTCACACTGCAGCATAATGAAGCTCTGTTTGATTTCTCTGAAAACCAGAATTCTGTAACGTTTCAACCCAGAGTTGCTGTGTAAGTATGGCAGGAACAGCAGGGGTCTGAATTGGAACCAAAGCCACTGTCAAGTAGGAACATTGTTTTTTCAGAGCTAATCTGTATCGGCATCTGAGATTCAAGAAGGCCAAGTGCTGGGTCCTGCACTTGGGTCACAACAACCCCGTGCAGCGCTACAGGCGTGGGGAGGATTGGCCGGAAAGCTGCCCGGTGGAGAAGGATCTGGGGGTGTTGGTCAACAGCTGGCTGGATGTGAGCCGGCAGCGTGCCTGGGTGGCCAAGGTGGCCAACAGAATCCTGGCTTGTATCAGAAATAGTGTGGCCAGCAGGACCGGGGAAGTGATCGTCCCCCTGTGCTCAGCACTGGTGAGGCCACACCTCGAATCCTGTGTTCAGTTTTGGGCCCCTCACTGCAAGACAGACATTGAGGTGCTGGAGCATGTCCAAAGCAGAGCAATTAAGTTGGTGAAGGGTCTAGAGCACAAGTCTTATGAAGAGCAGCTGAGGGAACTGGGGTTGATTAGTCTGGAGAAAAGGAGGCTGAGGGGAGACCTTATCGCTCTCTACAACTGCCTGAGAGGAGGGTGTAGCGAGGTGGGGGTCAGTCTCTTCTCCCAAGTAACAAGTGGCTTCAAGTTGTGACAGAGGAGGTTTAGACGGGATATGCAGAAAAATTTCTTCACCGAAAGGGTTCTCAAGCCCTGGAACAGCCTGCCCAGGAAAGTGCTTGAGTCACCACCCCTGGAGGTATTTAACAGACACAGAGATGTGGTGCTCCGGGACATGGTTTAGTGGTAGACTGTTGGTGGTTTGAGTCTACTCAGCAGCTCAATGCCACACAGTCGCTCACCCACCCTCCCCCACTTGGGAACGGGGAGGGAATCAGAGGGGCAAAGGGAGACTCACGGGTTGAGATAAAAACAGTTGAATAACAGTAACAGAATAATACGGTGACACCGGGATCAACAGGTAATGTACCACACAGCTGCTCACCACCCGCCTGCTCCCGGCCAGCGATCCCGAACACCAAGGCTCCCCAGCACCACTCCCGGAAGTGGCAGCCCCTCCCGGCCCACTCCTGCCTTTATATAGTGAGCACAATGTCACATGACATGGACTGTCGGCCAATCGGGGCCCAGCCCTCCAGCTGTGCTCCCCCCGCCCCCGCACACAGGTGAGGGCACTGGGACCTGGGGAGCCCCTGGGGTCTCAGGGTGCTGCAGCTCCTCCCTCTGCCAGACCAACGGGAGCTCTAGGCCAGCCCCAACCAGGACATAGACTTGGGAGTGCTAGGTCAACAGTCTTTTCCAACCTAAACAATTCTTTGATTCTATTCTGTGAATAATATTTTACTTTCAAACTCCTTTTAAGAGTTTCAGCAACTCCAAGGGAACAGGGGAAAGATTTCACTGTTGATGACATCCTTGGAGCCACTCAAAGTAACTCACATTATTTATAAGTATTTACAAATCAAACTTGTGCAGTTACCTGCATTTTCAAAACAACATGGACTACTAGAAAATTAATTCTTAAATAATTTAGAAATCAATCATAATTTTTATATAATATTTATTGATACAAAAAAATATTTGTGACAAACCATGTATTTACAATATACACCAGAGAAAGCTCTTTTAAGATCAATGAAACAACGTGCCCCTAAAACTGGGGTGTATTTCCAGTTGGATGGTAGTTACAGTGTTCTTTAGAACGCCTTGGATTAGATGATCTTCAATTTGAAAGCAAAGTTATGGGGATGAGGTCTCCAACAACATGCTTCTTGCTTTTGATTTAAATTATAAAAAGAATAGAAATTACTTCAAATTAACACAGTTTAAAAAAGGCCTATCCGACTGTGCCATAATATACTAGGGAGTTACTAGACAGTAGGGTAGAAAACCAGCGAATTGTACTCACAGCAGCAAGGACATTAAAGCGTTCATCTACTCCAGTGACAAATCAATAAAAATATTAGCATCATTTCAATTTTGCTCAGAAGAGCACATTAGCCTAATTTAATTTAGCCAACAGTGGTCTCTCACAAATGCATTCCTCTGTGCAAAGTTTGGAGTTGTCAAAGCGACACCTGGTTGTGACACTGACACTTGTTCCGCCTGTATTTTATGCTATCTCTAATAGGAAATGTATTTTGTGCAGGACCAAGAGAGCACAGTAGCTGATCTGCATGAGTTTTGTGCCATTTTTATAAAAATCTCCTATGCATTTTCATTCACTTAAGTCATGTTTAGATAAATGGCCCACAACCTATGAATTACAGCCCCGAAGGCCATATAAAGCTGCTGTTAGTAAGGAAAAGTCCAACAATTAAAACTGTTGCCAACTGATAAAATAACATCTGATGCAACTCACCACATCAAGTGACAGCTAAGGACTATTACTCCAGATGTAGTTATGTGGAAGCAGACACCTGATAGCCTGGACTGTACAAGACGCCAAGTTTTCGTTTGTTTAAAGCCCGCATACAGAATGAAGACTGCTGTTAAGACTTGCAAGTGAAAATAACATGCTGCTATCAAACTATACTAAACTGTTTTAGGTATACATGCAGAAAACGGTTTGCTAATTCCCCCCAAACTGAGCAGTGGACTTCTCATCAAACCCAGGTATGTGTTTTCCTTAGAGGGCCGCCTCGGAGCAAAGACCAGGCGGGGAAAGTTAAAGCTGACAGCTGTAACAGAACTTAATACGCACGCTTTGTCTTTTACTATAGAGTGTGCTGGGTTTGTGTGGTGGGATTTTTGGCAGCAGGGGAGGGGGCTACAATGACGGCCCCTGCCAGAAGCTGCTCGAAGCTCCCCCGGCTCCAAGTCGGACCCGGCTCTGGCCAGGGCTGAGCCAGTCAGCGACGGTGGCTGCGCGGCTGCGATAACGTATTTAAGAAGGGGAACCTGGGAGGAGGAGCTGCGAGGAGGACACGTATGTGAACACCAAGGTCAGTGGAAGGAAGAAGGAAAAGAAGGTGGGGGGGTGCGCAGGAGCAGAGACCCCCTGCAGCCTGTGGTGAGAGGGGAGGGCTGCCCCCCCTGCGGCCCACGGAGGTCACCAGCAGAGCAGATGCCCACCTAGAGCTAGTTGCCCTGGGTTCAGATGAGCTCTCTTTCCCCACATACGAGCTTTTGCCTCCTGCCCTCTGCTGTACCTCTTGACCTCTCCACAGCAACCGCAGTGATAAGAATGAGGATGCCAGGTTTGTACGCAAACACTCTAACACACTTTGCAAACACAGACTCCTCCCCACCCCCAGCAATAAGTAGGGTAGAACGGAGATGGCAGGTCCTGAACTGTGCGTGCAGATCTGTTCCATGTGGAAGGATATGTCAAATGATCTTGGTCAGGTCTCGGCTCTGTCTCTAAGAGAAATGTATGAAGGTGATCATAAGGGGCCACCCGGCTCTTCCAGCTCCAGTCCAGGCTCCTCCTTAGACACCACATAAACATCAAAACCCAGGAAGATTATTTCCTCTTGGCATTTACCAGGAAAATCAGGCAGCAATGGGGTGTGAGAGGGCATATGCATCCACATCCTTATCTGCAGCAATGGACACACTGCCATGCTAGACCTCTGTGCAAAAACCAGCTGGTGCCAAGCAGCATTCCCAGTGGCAAGAGTGAGAGAGATGTAAGAGTAGGTGAATGCCTGGAGTAGCCTCTAATCCAAAATCTGGGTACGGCGTGGTGCCCACGTGATGGCAGATCCACGGCAAGATCGTGCCAAGGCAAAGGAAGTCACCAGCACGCTGAACTAGTGCTGCAAGACGAGCAAAAAGCACAATGCTATGATGCTCTGGGATAGGTCTGGCCAGGGTGAATGGTGCTGGGACGGATTCCTCCAGCACTGCAGAGCCAGCCTCCACAGATGGATGAGGCTCAAGGGCAACCATGCCGGCCTGAGGCAGTCTCAGTTCTGATTCTGAAGTCTGGAAAATCACAGGTGATGATAACAAATGCTTTGCCAGTGACATCCTAAAACGACCTTCTTGGGATTAAAACTGCACAAAAGTCTTTCAAAGAATGGTGGCCAAAGGAAGCTCTGCATCACTTCTGAGTGAGAAAATACAGTGGGGCTTTCTTGCAAGCTAAAAGACTGTTCAAGTCTAGCAGCTGTGTTCTAATTTATTCCTACAGCGACCTCTGTGCTTTACCTATGAATTACCTTAAGAGGGCACAGTAAAGCTTAGTTGCTCAACAGCCAATATGAAGAAAATCAGCCATAATAAAAGTCAGAGAACATTTGCTGGATACAAAAGGCCTCTGCAATTATCACTTAATTGTCCTTCATGGGCCAATACTGGGAGTCTCATACATTCCCCTTAAGGTTGCTCCTTCCTTCAGCACTTTTTCTCAACTGGCTACTTAATTAGTTTTCCTTCCTGGGCTTAATTGTAAATTTGTTTTGATTAATTAGCCTCAGAGCTGACTTGGCACTAACTGAAATATAGAAGGACTTAGTTTCTTCAGTGTATAGGCTACTGCATCCTAGGGGAGCCCCCTCCTTGTCAGCAATAAAATTTCAAGTTCAGATTGTGTTTGAAAAAAACTTAACTGAAATGAAAGTTAATTTCTTGTAATTACCCCCTCTGTACTACAGCACAAGTGATGATAACATAAAGAAAGGATAAAATTCAGCAAGTTCAGGCTACTTGTTCAGTGGATTATACCTCATGTTCATTAGCTGAATCCTGCAGTTTTAGATAAGATGACTTAATGCTCTTAAACGCAAGTGATCACAGCACTGCTAGAATCCCAAACCAGGAGTGTAGGTTATCAGCATGGGCAGCTGTGTTCTCACGGCACCGACACCAGAAAGGTTTCCCTAACCAATCAGAAGAGTCACATTCTGCTTTTCCAAAAGTTACTGCATTTCATTGAAAACCGTTTGCACAACCTAGACAAGCCACTCTGCAACACCTCTGGATGCTGCTGTAGCTGTTCATTATCTTTACACCTCTCATATTATTCCTTTCCTCTCCAACTTTATGGCATGCTTATTCCAGAAGACACCCACACAGCATTATCATGCATCTGCCATCTTGATCAATTCTCATTTCAGCTACTGTTACTGACTACACAGGAAAAGGCAGATTCAAACACCATGACCATGAAAAAAAAAATGTAATCAGCTAACTAAAATAATGTGTGTTAACAGCTATTGTACCCATTTAATCAACTTCCTAAATAGTCATCAAGAGTAATGCAAGTATTCAGTTTTCAAATTTAAAAGTCCTTACCTATCCAGCTGCAAAGAGAAGTTAAATATCTTACTCAGGACATTAATATGTTTTTCTGTGAATGCTTTTAGATTTGTATCTCAGGTGAACAGTCAGACTGAGAAAGTAAACACCCCGCTTCTTTCAGCTCCTTCTTTCGATTACTGCCCCTCTTGTGCTCCAAACAAGAAAAGACTGCAGAAATGCAAAGTAAATGTGGTTTTACAACCTTTTGTATGTGTCTTTACTTGGGCACAGGAGTTTAAACTAAGCAAACCAGATCAGGAGCTTTGTGGGTGGGCCTAAGAACACAGAGGAGCTCTGCAGGCACTCCTTTTAATTTATGTGTTCCCTAATAACCCGCAGACAACTGTTCTGACTGATGATAAACTACTGTTTTCACCTTAGAACTTGACCGTAGGAATCACTTCGGTTGTCAAATCCTAAACGAAGCTTTTCCATGCAACCTGAGATTTGGCTTCCAGATCTCTTCCGACTACATTTGTGAACATCCATGAAGTGATACGAACCAGCTTAGAAAGACTAAGATATTCAGTTACAACAGCTGTCAATACCACTAAAGAGGCATGTTCCATACTCTTCAGTTAGATGCATTATCTGCAATCAATCACCACTTAAAGTAAATCCTTTGTCAGAAAAGACATCATGCAACAGAGTCTGTACATCTATAGAAATGTAAGAAACATTCCTTCATATGGAAATGCCTTTTCAGCTGTTATGCAATGAGGAAATTGCTCTTTAGGTTTATTGCATTCCCCAACTGTTAATTTAAAATCATCTGCAGATAACCAATTCAGCTGTGTACTTGAAAAAATAGAAGAAACTGTGTATGTTCCACTGTTTTATTGGTGCTGTTTATTTTTCTGTAATTACTCAGCTCAGATTCTCCTATTTCATGTTTACAAAGTTGGATAAATCTGGATGTGCACACATATCTGACAGTTTTGCAACCATTCTTCTGCTGCTTTAAAACTACGATAAAGCTTTGTTTAATAAAACAGGAACAGCTTTCTAGCAAAATGAAACTACAAAAAGATAGACTTTGAAAAGAACCTGTTGACCAGTTATTTTTTTCAAAGGGAGCCAAAGCCTTCAAAAATCTGACTTTCTATTGTGGTGGGACATCAGCAGTTAAGCTCCTTAAAGCAAGCCTCTAAGTTGTGACCTCAATACCTACCATAGAACACATGTACCTACTAACACGAAGCTGATAAAATAAGAGACCCAGCTTTTGTTTCCAGCTCTCTCAATTACTGTTGACAGAAAGCAACGAATTAACATACTAACCCCGTGATATCCTCCAGGAACAGTATGTGTACCAGACAAGCAACAGAAAAGGCAGTATCTCAGGAGGACAATCCCAGCTTCACTCCACAGCAGATAACACTGGCTGACTTTGGCCTAGCAAAACACAGTCCTGGCTCAGATCTCTACTACTATTACAGGTGATGTCGTGTACTCTAGTGTAAGTAAAAAGTTGCACCATCTGAGCTGAATATATAAGCCATTATAGTCTATTAAATTATTTAAAAGCTGTTTTAAAAGCTACAACAGGCAATTTTACAAATTCTACAACATTATAGAAAGCAACATTCTACAACATTATAGAATCCCTAAGAACACATATTTAAGCTACAGACCACAACATGCTCTGTACAGGCTATTACTTCAGCATTTTACCAAGTCTAAATAATTTGGCATGTATCCATTTGAAACCACCACAGTAATTGGTAGAAGTTAGATTACTCAACAGAAGTGATGCTGATAAAAATAATCACACACGCAGGAAGAAGAATGCTAACTTCTCACATTTCAAGGAAGCCTGTTTTCTTTCTTTGCAACATCCCATTTGGTAAATGAAAAAAGATCAGACCACCAAAAGGTTACCCATGACTACTGGTAGCCTGATGTATAGAAAAACGTAGGAAACGGAAGCCAAGCAAGACCAGGTAGAGGTGAAACGCCAGCTAACAAGCAATTCTTGTTTGCCACACTGCACAATTCAGCACCCATAGGACTCGATATTCAGAACATTCTCCTGTACCTCCTCACACTATGTTCAGGCTAATGACATGGAATCAAGTTTTTTTACAAGTGTCAAGCTGAAGAAAATAATTTAAAATGCAATCCAGACAAATGGTGAACAACCTAGCACAACTTAACTCCTGCTGTGCACTAATGTTTTAAAAAACAACTTTGAGCAAGTGGTTGCAACTAGTACAGCATACATGGTAACAGAATGAACTTAGCAAGTTTCAGTGCCAAGTCCTAACGTTAATGGCAACTGATTTACATTTACTTGCAACAGAATTCAACTGAATTTATCTCCATCTGTAACATACTCTTCCTCCTTTCAAACACCAAAACCCTCTCAACCATAGATGCCAGCTAAGGACAAACAGCTGTGCTTGAAGCACCATCTAGCGACAAATAGTGGAATTGTTGATAAACTAAAACAACATCCTAGATACATCACCACACTAGGTACAATTGATTTTGCTACTTAAAAAAATAACACATATACATTTTGAGATGTAGTGCAACTACAAAACATTCTCTGCAAGCCATACAGAACATTTCTTCCAAGAAAACGACTAGTCAGGTAGCAACAAAACCATCCAGCCTAAAAAGTTGCATACTTTACCAAAATCACCCAATTCTGTTGACACTATCAGCCATTGAACTAGGAAAACACAGACACAGACATTCATGGCATGCTGACCAAAAACCTGCACTTGAACATCTGCCACTTTCCAGCCTGTGTCAGGAAAAGGTCTGCACACATGTTATTCTGCTTAAGAAAATACCCTGAAGGACATATTTCTCATCATTTACTCATAACCCAAAAGAAAATCCACTCAAAACCTTGCTGCCAGGTTGCAGTACAGTGCAGTCAGGGAAGACACATCGGTGCCTGATACAACAATGGCAACGTATCTCATCAGAGCCCACCAGGCTGGAACACATTGCTGGAAAGCAGCAGGCTGCCTTGAGCTCCATTACAACACACATCCACACTTTTCTTCAGGGCCATGAGCTCCATAGTCCATATACATGTTCACTAACCACTCAAAATATCCTTCTGCTACACAATCTGCAGACAGGTAATGCAGAAGAAAATGTGCAGGGTATCTTCCTTTTGAACTCCCTGGCCTTTAACACAACAGAAAAGTGTTCCTGTTCTGACTTTCAGCTGGAACCAAGGAGCTGTTGGGCTCAGAGACCACCACAGCCATGCCCTGAACACTGGGAGACATGCTTGGGTGAGGAACAGAAGAACTTTGGTGTAATGCTAGCCCTGTATCGTTTTCCAAGTGGCAAATTTCCAGACCTCTGCAGGCATGAGGAGTGGAAAGGCTTACAAACTAAACACTTTAGTGGGTGGGATCCCCTCAGGCAGTGGAGACAGCATGTGTGCCCATCTGGTAGCTAGTATGGCTCCAACAAAGAAGGGATAATACCTGAATCTTGCTGACCTTGAAGAGACCAAACCAAACCCAAAATTTAGAAAAGCTGACAACATCACATTATCATCACCTGTAACTGTGGGGTTTTTTTTAATTTTAACTCTTAAACTGAAAAAAAAGGTCCTTCTGTGCTGTCTGAACTTTGACAGCAAACAGTTCATATCAAGACCAAGATAAAACTAAATGGCAATAGGCATGTTCTTCTCTTTTGTCTTCTCAGAGTTAGGCATGACCTAGCCATGAATGCAACAATGCCACATAACTGCTAAGTATTCCCCCATCAGTCTATATATGCACTAATCACAGGAACTACTGCTTAAAAGAGAATGATAAAAATACACTACCTCAAATTCCACAATCTAAAGGGTCTTTCACAGAAGCATGGTAACGTTGGTGTCCAGGCCCTTTCACAGACACAGTAAGTTAGCTGGCAGTTGGAAAGCTTAAGAGAAGCAGTAAAGCCAATTCATCTTTCCTACTTTAATGTATACTTCTAGATTTAAGATCATGGCCAAGACTGTTTAAAAGGTCAATCCTCAAGTCCCTGAAGTTTACAATTCCAATTCAGTTTTCTCTACCTCCTCCTCTTCTAGAATAGCAGTGACCACAGAGAGAAAGCACCCTACCAGAATAGCTGTAGCTTGTCCTTATCTTCAGCCAGAAGGAACCTTGAAGAGCTTGGGAGACAAATGCTACATATACCATCTGCTGTCTAGACTTGGCTTCTGGAGTACACAGTACAATAACAGTTTTCCCAAAGGTCCTCATTATTATCCAGGAACACAGCAAGCAAAACAAAAGGAGATATTAAAGTAATACATTTAGCAAGGACCCATCACTGTTACACAAAATAAAGCTATCCACAATGTTCAGAGCTAATCAGGCCATAGCTTCCACACAAAAGATAAAACAGATAAGCTCCTACTTAAGAGCTCCCATTTTACAACTTGAGGCACTAATCATACATCTGCTAGACAAGGAAGAAACACCTGTCATTAACACACTAGAAGGCGGCTGGACCCAGCACAGAAGCATTCTAGCAGCCCATTTCCTAGACAACAATTACTGGAATGAGAACAGCATGCTCCTGCATTTAAAAAGACATTATTCTAAGCAGTTTGTACCAGGCAGACATTAAGACTATCAGATGTTAGCTGAAGATGTCAACATTTTTTCAAGTGCTAAGTGACTTTAAAAGCATTAAGCATATAAATACAATTTGGAACAACAATGTGCTTTACCCACAAATTTTACACATTTATCCTTCTGTCTTTGGATGACACAAGAACAGTAACTGATGCAGAGTGAGGCCCTTCAGTATGTCATTTCGGTTTAATAGCAAACTACTGAGGTTCTTTTGGTATTGTTCTGAACTCTTCTTCATTCATTTCAGCTGCTCTGTATTAACTTGTAATGTTAAGCTGGGCACGCTCAAATACTTTTTGTATGTAAAGAGAACTTCAAAATATACAAAAGCTTGAAAAGTGTTTCAGCAAACTTCTGCAGAAAGTTCTTCACCTGTCTTTAAGTTGTGTGAAGAGAAGAACACTTTCTTTTTTCAGAAGGTTCTGTATGTTATATCCATTTCCTACAAATAAAAACAGAGGAAGATTCTTTAGAAGCCACTAACAATTTTTGAAGTCCTGTCTTCAGCCAAGTGCATTTTTATTTCAAATATTTTAACAGAAGGAATATTAGCCCCTAATCTAGGATGCCATTCTTACAAGCACATCACTGCATTTCAAAGAGATAACGAGGTATATAGCTATTGTCATTTATTTTAACCTGTGGTAAAAATAAAGTGTGCCTTTGCTGAGAAGGTTTTTACTGAAAAGAATGTAACTGGTTGAACTCTCAGTTCTCAAAACCCACAAGAAATCTTTAAGGCAACTGAATTTACTTTAATGTATTCCTATAGAAGATCTCAAGAAAAACTGCACATGGAAACTTATCTGCAGATCTTCACTTTGGATTTGCATACTAACATGATCACAAATATCGAAACATCTAAAAGGCACTAAATGTCAGGAATGAGTAACACCTTAACAACATTCATATACAGCCACACTTGATATAATGAGATCACAAGCCACCACCATTACACTGCCCATCCAGGCATACTGAGACAGGCCATCAAGAAGCAGGGAAGAATGGAAATTAAGTATTTCCATGATTCCATATTTAAGGCCATACGGAACTTTCAGCAGCTTATATAATCCACTTTCCCAAAACGCAAACTACAAAACCATCTCTGCAGACCCCTAAAATTTCAATATTAAAACAAACACAAAAGAACCTTCAAAGCATCAAGCATTCGTTGAGCAATGATTGTTGAATCGCGATGCCATGGTGAAAAGTTAAACGGAAAGACAAGTGGTAGCTTGTCATTTTCTAACATAGTCTCTTCACAAGAAAGCTGTACAAAAGCCCTCTACAGCTTCACGAACAGTCTGCTTTCCAGCTACTCCAAACTCTCCTGGCTAGTGTCTTACCCACTGAAGGACAGCTTCCCATAAGGAATTCATTCCACTTATCTCAGAAGGGCAAAATCAGAGGTGTCTAAATTCGCACCAAACCAAATCAAGTTACAACCCATTCAACAGGACATTCTGCACCTTCTATATATCAGGCATAATGCATAAAAAATGGTGAACTGATCCAAATGGATTTTCATAAATTTACATAGAAAAAACAGCAAATAGATGGTGGCCAAAACAATTATATTAACTACCGCTATATGAAGCCCTCCGTGAAGTTTCCTCAAACATTATAGCTAGGGATAGAACCAGAATACCAAGAGAAATTCACTCTTAGAACTTGGTAATATCATCAGAAACTTTGAGGCCAACTCACATAAACAAGCAGTGTTTGTATCACTGCATTCAAAGTTTTGGTCATCAACCCATGTCCAGTGTTGGGTCACATTCTTTTCTTCATAACCTTGTAATTTCCCACTCTCTACTCAAATTTATCTCTTCCCATCATTCAGTTCAGTTTTGCTTCCTAGCATGCTAATTCAGTCTCATCCGTCTCCAACAAATTGGTTTTAAATACATGTACTTACCTGCTGGAACATAGAAGTAGTCCCCTGTAGTTAGATGATATGATGTCTTATGTAAGGTAACAATAATTTCGCCGTAGATAATATGGAAAGCCTTAAGGAAAGCCAAAGCGTTCTAAGATTAGCAATGTTTCCTTTGCAAACATTTAAGTTATCCAAGAAAACATACTCTTTTACATGTTGCAACAAAGATCAAAAAAACCTCACAAGCTAGCAGAGCTGCAATCCCTTTTTCCCTACCCTGCTGAAACATAAGATGCACAACTTAAAAGGGGAGTGAGGGCCAATTTTACAAGACACTTCTATCTCGCCTGCAAGATCCAGAGAGTAAGTACATATGGACATTCAAACTTAATGTGAAGCAAAGCAGGGCAGCATGCATGCAAAGTACCTCTAGGAAGTTTCTTTGGTCATAAACAATTTCACAACTGAAATGATTCGTGTTTCCAGTATTTATTTGCATTATAGGGGCAAAAGCATGCTGAAAAACCTGTCAACTTCATATGCTAGTTCTAATCATTCTAAGATTCTCTGTTTACATAGTCCATTTTATAAAAATAAGAAAAAAGCATACTTACTATTGTATCCATGTGGACAAATTGGTGACCCTTTTCCTTTAATGGTTTCAGAATCAATCTACCAATGGCAAAATCTGATGTATTCAAATTTTTATATATTTCTACCGATTCATCTTTGAAGACGCATGAGTGACTGCTTTCAGTGTTAATACATTCTACAAAAAAAGTGCAGGAGATTAACAATAATGCTAACACACAGTCTTGTTGCTCAGTGACCACTTATTAAATCATATGCATTGCATATTGTTTCAGTGCAACACTCCCAAGAGCTAGACTCAATCTTTAGCTGAAAAATCAGGACACTTTTTGTGTCTCCTTCAGAATTTTCTCCAGAAGAATAACGAATATTTCAATAGCTCACCTTTTTATATCCAGTGTGGCATGAACAATTTTTTTTCTTATCAATCTAAACACTACATAATTCAGAAAGGCCCTTGGTCACATCCTCTCAACTCACCTAGAAGTACTTCCTCATTTGTTACTGGGTCCAGTACAGTGGTTGGCTTAGAAGTATCAGCTAGGGCGTGATCCAAACTTGCAGGTATCTCACTTCCTGAAAAGAGAAAAAAAAACAAAGCAAAAAGATAATTACTCTACATTTTTAAAAGTTAATTATTTAACCACAATTCTTCCACAATTTTAGATTTCACACATAGGTACTTAAATTTTAATTAAGCTACTAAACAGACTCAATACACTTTCTTCAAATAAAAGGAAACCATCTATATCAATTCTTTGGAAATGTAATTTCCATTGGAATTATTTCTGTGTGTAATAGATAAAGGTTTTCTAAACCCTAAGGATTTTCCAGGGGAATGCCAACTATTTCTCCTATGCTATTAATGACAGTAGTTACTCAAAAGTATCAACTTTTTAAGATAAGTGCTTTTCTAGCCGCAGATAGTGAGAAGATATTAAGAGAGGATATAAAATACCCGATGAAGTATGAAGAACAGGTTTTTTCCTTTTACTTACTGCTGACGGGCATCAGAAGACTAAGGGACAAACTGTTCAAAAGAATAAGCACATATTCAATTTTCCTTTTTTCAAGAAATACCATTACAGGAATATCACTGTAAGTTGTAAATCAGCAAAGTATTCTATAACAAAAAGGATTTTTCCAGAAAAGGAAATAGCCTAAGAGTTGATGACAACATTACACTTTTCAAGTAGAAAAGAGATGCTGGAGGATGTTCACAACAGAATAAATATGCCAAAGCTCTGTTGCAGAACTCTAAGGAGAATTTTAGCTCCACAGTGCACAGGTAATTTCTTTAAATTAAGTCAGAACAAGGATGTTAAAGGCAAACTATAGCACTTTATATGCACTTCTGGCTGCTTAAATATTCTTATGCCAAGACAATCAGTGGTAAGAAGGTGCTGCATTTGAAATAGCTTTGTTCCAACATAACCATCTCTCTGTAAGAAACAGCAGCAACAGTTGCAACTCCACAGCTCTTACCACAGAATTTTTATCATATCAATAAAATTTAAGAATTTGTCCCAGAAATTCTACTCAGTTGATGGTCCTTACATGCATCACTTAAAATTCAAGGATGCTAGCAAAATATTATCTCTCAGGATGAATGTCTGTTAAAGAGGAAATCCATCACTTCTAGAAGACAGCTCAAATGTACCTAAAGCAACCAATAATTCTTGTAAGATACAGTATGAGCAGTCACTGCCCACTCAGGTTTACATGGACTGCAAATTATTTATATTAAAACATAAACTTTACTTAGATCAAAGATCGACCTAGACCAGTACCCTGTCTCCCCATCAATTGCCAAAAGCAGGTACCCCCTTCCATTCCCCAAAACACTATAATAGAGTCATGGCACTTCCATGGAATACTTTTCACCTCTAACATGGAGCTCACACACTTTGTTGAGTGCTATGAGCAGTTACAGCTTCTGTGAACTTACCTAGTGCTTGCCTTGAATATACAAAAATATTTTTATCTACAATATTCTGGGGCAGGGAGCACATAGTGAGAACCACCACCTTTTTTTTTTTTTTTTTGAAAAATCCAGCTCTATCTTCCTTTCACACCTTCTATTTCTGGGTGGGTTGGTTGGTTTGGTTTTCAACACAGACAAAACAAAACACAATTTATTCCTAATCCACTTCTCCATGCCACTCATGATTTTATAGGTCTTTCTTACACCTCCACAGTACTCTCTTCAGGACTAAGTAGCCTTCATCATGTAGTTGCTTCTTCTACAGAAGTCCCTCCATGTTTTTGACAAACTTTCTCTGAACCTTCTCTACATCCTACTAGCTTTTTGTGGGTAAGGAATAAAATTTATAAGCAATATTATAGAAAATCAGAAATTTGTAAAGACATTGACTGTTTTGTTCCTTATTTCTCTAATAATTACTTCAGTACAGATTTGTTTTAGAACTGTGTCAGGACCATATGGCATTTTCCATGTTTGTCAGCATTTGTTTTATTTGTTCTATAACTTTGCATAGGAATGTTCAGTCTCAAACAAAAACTCTAGACTGTCTGCCATAAGCAGAAGTTCTCTAGCATCAAAACACCCTCCACACAGAGCACAGCAAAAAAAAATTTGGCTTCTGCACTTTGACTATCTCCATTTTCTGAGCACTACCTACAGATTTATTATCCACTGGCCACAGAGGCTCTAGCAAAGCTTCCTGTTCCTGTTTGTTTAAACACAGATTTACTGCCCGCTTTTAACTATTTTATGCACTGTTCTTAAAGCACTCTCTTCACTTATCTTGTTGGTTTTGTATTTAACCTACATTAGCTTAAAACTCTACTGACACCATATGCTGCCTTTTCAGATGTGATATTACAGGTATCAGTAAATTGACTAGAAGTTTTCATACCTTGACTGTGCATTATGAAACTAAACACATTAGCATCATTAATCAACAAGATGAACAAGAACAGAAACAGCTTATTTTCTTCAACCTCTGCTTTAAAGGTACCACAACACTTCTGGATACATCCTGTATCTTTTCCTTTCTAATGCTGAGAAGTTAAAGTTTTTACGAAATTATACAGCATTGCTACAGATACACTAAGAACAGGTTTTTCCACATCAGATCACACTAACATATTTCATTATAAAATTATTTTTATCCAGAGAGAGAGAATCAAGTTTTTACAGGAGAAAAATCTTACAGCAATAGAGTATTTGATTGTAGTTTGCTTTTTTAATGTACAAAAAGAAAAAAAAGTCTGTGTTCTTACTTGTTTCACCTCTTTTCTGCTTGTTCTTACGACCATTTCTCCACTTAATATTCCTGCAAGGTGCTGGTTTTGGACACACTATTCCATTAATAACAAGCCCTCCTGAAACAAAAGAAGGTTAAATCAAGTTCACTAACTCATAATAATTTTACAAGAATGCAGACTTGCACAACCAACAAGCATTTCAGTAGAAAATATATTTCCTTGATGCTGAACTTTTCAGATAGCTTTAGAAAGCCAGAACAAACAAAAAAGCTTTTCAACATCAAGTATTTTGGAGTGCAATGCAAGTTGAGACTTTCTGGAAATAAGTTGATCGTGTATCAGTCAAAGTACATTTCAGAAAGCCACGACCTGAGAGTCAATTTTTAAGACAAAATATCAATCTTAAGGACACAAAGAAATACTACCTTCAAGCAGAGTAATTATTTAGGAAAGGACCAAATTAGGCTGAATTGTCATAAAAAAATCCATACGAACAAAATATATTCCATCATTTACTGAATTTAACACTGAGATTGGATAAAATACTGTAATATCTGCTCTTGAGAACAATCCCCACACAAAGAGAAATGCTCCAACGAATGATCCAGTAGATTGCCTCTTTTTCTGCTATTACATAGAATCTCTGATGTAATAAACCTACTAGTACAGAGAAACAGTTTTGTTCTTCCCTAAACAGTTAAGGCAAGGGTACTTAACATGCTCTGATGATACTACTTCTAGCTGACATAGGAGTACCAGGAGGGAAGACAACTACATGGAAAGGTGACTAAATAGCTGGAGACTGTAATTGATCTACTTTTTTAAAAAATTACCAAATAGTAAGCATCTCAAAGCTTTCATGGCACAAAATCAATCCACAGATTTCTCTTTACTGCTCTATCAGGCAAAAGCAAATACATATTTTGGAACAAATACCTGAAGGCCTCATTATATAGTTTACACGCTCGCCTCGCCAAAATTCCAGAGGTTGCAGTCGTATCCTTTTTGTGCGACGAACATTAGGTGTGTTGGAAGGCATTACTAATTTAAAGGATGAAATCATTCACATTAAGTATGAAAGGAAAATTCAGAAGTAAAAACATTAAATATCCTTTCCTGTTGTTCTGTATCAGGGGTCAGCACTTCCCAGCTGATATTCGTATCACACTGCTGTATCATGACAGAAAAAGGGAATCTAGTATTGCCAGAAGCCTTCTTTTGCATGCATCTGAATTTCACTATCCTTTTTCTTAAACAGTCACCATGCTGACTTTACAGTAGATTTCATTCTGTATTTCTTAGTGAATCACCGAGAAACAGACATTAGGGGCTTAAGTACAAGGAGCAACAAAGATGCAAGAACTGTGAAGACAAAGCTCTCAACAAAGACTAAAGAACCCTGCATAAATCCGAGGGCTTTCATTAGCAACAGCGAAGAGACACTGCCTTGGTTACGTCAAGGAAAGTAGCAGAGTCTGCAAAAGCAGCCCCTCCTCTTCCAGGTTCTTAAATTCTACCTCCAAGGTCCAGAATAGCAGCACTTTTGCCAGCAGAAACCCCACACATTTCCAAGACTTCTCAGATATTTATCTTCAGACTTACTTATTACATAGTGTCAACTTCCAGTTTTTCTAAGCTGCCATATTTGAATATGGTACCATACAATATTTCAGTGTTTGTAAGAAAGAATAAATGTCCCTTAAGAGTTGAGAGCAAATTAGCTAAGAATATTTAAATGCTAAAAATGAAAATGGGAAATAAAAAAGAATTGCTGAAATAGTTTTTGAAGGTAGACAACTATAGTGTTGTGCATAACATAATAATGAAGGGAATAAAAAACAATAAAAACAGACTAGTATGGGACTACAATCAACTGCATGCCCATTGTTCCAGCCTATCTGGACTCAGGCCACCCTAGAAGGCAGGTTATTTGCAGGCCCAGTTACACTGTGTAAAACTAATTCAAACTCTTACTGTTCTTACTGAACTGTAAACCGTGTATTGACACTGTCAACATTAAATGAAAAATGGAAATGTGACAGTTAAAAAGATAATTGTTGAATATAGTAATAAAAAAAAAGAAACACTGCAAGTTTTTTAAAGTAACCTAAAAATTAGAGCAGGGTTATAGTACCCTGAAGAACTAACAACCTTATCTGTAAATACCTGCTAACCTAGAACCCGTTTCTAGGTGTTTTTCTGTGTCTCCTTCAGCAAAATTCATATCAAGTTGGAAATGCATTTGTATTTATACACTTACATTAAGTATTTTAAAATAGTCTTACCTATTTTATGCCTTGCTATGTTGTCTGACAGCAGATCTCTTAATTGACAATTCCAGTCTTCAGAATTATCTGAAAATACATTCAAAAAACACCACTATAAGCATTTACTGTTCCTGACTTTTATTTAATATACCCACTAGAAGCAACCAAAGGTAATACAAGCATTAGTCCCAATGTTAGTGTTCCCACTAACACTTTTCTCTTTAAACATATATGAAACCTGATGTAGACAAATAGTGCATGCAATTAGTTTTTTAAACAGTGTAAGCTTGAAAGTTACATGAAAACTATACATTCAAGTAAATATTCCTCTGATAAAACAAACATTGGCAAATTACAACTACACATATAATTTTACAGGTCAAAGTGCAATGTTATTCAGCTTCATAACACTCAAGCCTAACTTAAGAACAAACTTCTTACCAGAACACACACAGAACTAGGTCTCTGAAGAAAGCATTGCATGAGCTCGTAACATTCACAACTGTCTCTGAAACACTAAGAAAAAGGCTTGCTATCCCCAGAGCTCACATTCATTATGACAGTATGTGCCACTTGTGTAGGGAAACTTAAATATTTTTAGGCAAAGAGGCCACGATTCTATAAGGCTGTACAATTTGGCTTGGGGTGGCCTGAAGTGATCGTATATAGTACCATCACATGGCAACACACCCAACTGGTACAAACTGAGTCTAGAAAAATCTGTTCAAAGTATTTTAGAAGAAAGACTTTATGCTGCTAGTTTTGATGCGAAACGATGTAGTGCTTGTTCTTCCAGAGCTAATACAACAAAGAGCTGGCATACTCCATCACATACTTGGGCGGAAATGTGACCACAGACAACAAAATCTGCATTTCTTATTCTGGACAAGCTGAATATAACAGAAATGACTGTACCATCAATTATAGCTTATAATAAGTTTATACATAAGATGCAAGAAAATACCAACTTTAAATGTTACCTGAAAATGTATTAGCCTCTTCAGATGACTTACTTCCAGAAGCAAACTTACCACAATGTTCTAGAACAGGCTCACTTCAAAGGGGGGAAAAAAAAAAAAAAATACACCTGCTTGAACATGTTAAATGTCAAAGGAACATTACAGCACTACCAAGAAAAAGCAAATTTATGTTTTTTTCAGATCATATGGAGTGTTTGTTTTTTTTTTTTTCCCTTCTAAGCATCTGCCTGTACCAATTAGACACTGAAGCAAATAACTGCTACTTAAGAATCACAGGTCTGAAATTCATCAATTGCTCCTCTACTTGGTCATCAGGCAGACTAACTAGTGTTCACACCTTCTCTCTAAACAGGTTTCTTAATCTTGTAACTTCCTTTTCTTTCTTCCTTCCAGAAGAAAGATACCTTCTCCTCTCCTCTGCAGAACTGCCTTTCAAACAATTTTCCACAGACCATGATTATAGAAGTGCTTTAAAGATATGTTCTGCATACTGTAAGGAAAGGACCATAACAGTTTGTACTTGTAATCTGTAATATGTATTGTCATAAAATCTCCCTCATAAAATGGCAATAATTAACATGTATGTATGTAGATTCTCTAGCAATCAAATCACTTATAACGGGACTTCTCTTACAGCCTTAGTATTAGTAGCCCTAACCCCTAACCATTCCTCTTTCCCTGGTCTGTGGCTGCGTTCCAATGCTTTTACCATGCAATGAAGTTCAGCTGTGATCCACCCAAACTCCAGAAGGTACATTCAGTGCTAGATTAGCAAGCCTACACTACAAATTTATCCAATTAAATCTGCAGTAGGGTCACTTATTTCAAAAAATAAAACTTCCAGTAGAATTACAACATAAGTATTTAATAAATTCACAGACTGCCACTCCTGTTTGCCTTGTTAAATTCCATCCCATGAAGGAGATGATAGTGCATATCTATGTGCATATCCAAGTGCACAAACAAGAGTTTGGATTGTAGATATGGTTCTACACATTACTTAGCAGCAACTTTATTAGTGCAGTTATTAGTTCTAGGAGCACTGGTATTTCTGTTCAAAAAAAAAACATCACACAGTAATGTAGAAGCAAGCCCCAAAGGTTAAAAAAAAAAAAAAAGGCAAGAAGCCTACTATGAGCCCTTATTCACAACAGGAAGAATAATTTTATTAGTTTATTACCAGTATTAGCACAGTATTTCAACACCTCAGGCATAAATCACCATCCCCTTTCTACTAGTTCTTTGCTAGTAGAACACAGAACACAGTAGTAGTACCGAACAGCTGTTCGGTCTCAGTGGGGCAGAAGTGGGATTAAATGCAAGTTTTACAGACAACTCAGGACACTACCTTTCATGACTCGTAGCCTTCTCAGTTGCAAAGAAATCTCTAGAAAAGAAAAAATTATTATTACATTTACTGTTAAGTCAATTTTACTTACTGAAAAGAACCTGTAGGTCAATAATTTTACATACTGAACAGAACCATAAAAAAGACATTTTTTAAAAATTTAAAAAGCAATGCAAAGAACAGTGATTAAAACCTCAGACTGGTTAAAGAAACTTCCTCTCTTGATTACCAATCATTAGTAGTTACTTCCACAAAAATAAATATACCCAAAGAATTAAAAACTGTATTTTCTCAATTTATAAACCAAGTAACAAACCTGACAGTGAAGTTATTCTAGGGGTGGTAAGGTCATGTGCACATGTGTGCAAGTTTCCTTATGTAGAAGTGGACATAGATTTGGCACCCACCTTTGAGAACAGGATGTTGATTACACCACTTGGTTTCTCTATTAGCTATTCAACCAGTCTGAAACTGTGACATAGTTCAACTGGGCCATTATCGCTTAAAAGTTAAGATGTGTTTAATTACCTACCAAGTTATACCACAGTTGTAAGGAATGACATAAAAAGCTTACTGTGGTCCATGTCGTGCGTTATGTTTTCTTTTGTTATTTTTTATTTTCGTATCTGATAGCTTCTTTTTTTTTCTTGCCATTTTCTGTACAGTAGAGCTGTTAGAATCCATTTCAGACTCAGTGTCCTTACGGTTCGTGCAAACACCTTTACTGCGATTAATCTTTTTAGGCATCTTCCCTAAAGACTTAGCTGAAGATTGTTTCTTTTCAGATTTCTTCACGCTGTCTGTGAGATGCTGCAGTGCTTCTACACAAGTTTTATTTGCACTACCAAACGACCCCAGTGTCTGCAATACATTTTCACGCTCTTCAGATGTAGACAAATTCTGACCAACAGAAGTATGTAATTCCTCATTCAGGGGCGAGGAAAAGACTTTCTTTGACCTTACAGGCTCTCTTTCAAGCTGCTCTTCACCAGATTCACTGTTGGAACTCTCCTCTCTTTGTAACTGAGGCCTTTTATTACTATTCTTCTTGACAGCTTTTTTAAGCTTCTTCCTCCAACTTTCTGTCACTCTGTTAGCTACTGTATCTTTTGGAAGTTTCCGTTTAGCAGTTTGTTTCTTGTGAACTGACTTCTGGGAAGCTTTTGAAGCCAACTGCAGATACCTGAATGACCTGCCGTTCTTTTTTGGAGGCACAGCCTGTTCTTGCTGATGCCCAGATGATGGCATAAGCAAATCCTCACTTGGAACCACCACTGGTTTATATTGTTCTGCATCAGATGTTTCTGTTTCAAATCCAGACTGTGACAACTTCGGTTCTTCGACTTTTCGTTTCCGGGACAGGTCCTTTTTCTGTTTTGGAGAGCCTTGCTTAAGTGCATCCTTTTTAGTCTTTCCTATCAATACACAAAACACTTGGACGTTAATATCTTTTCCCATTAATCATGAAGATATGTGTTGACATCTGAACACATAAAAATAAACCAAAGAATCAGAAAACAAAACAAAACCAAACCATATCACAAAACCAGATTTTTCCCTGACAGTTAAAAGAAGGCTTTCTCTGAACCAGAGTCTAAGAATTATTAAAAACAGAATTTTTGGCATACTTCCAGTATTTCCTAGCAGAAAAAAAGGGAAGAAATGTTACACTCAATTGGCTTTCCAGTTTTCAGTGCTTCCTGATACAAAACTCTTCTCAAATAATTCCTAAAAATTGAACCTCTCTGGATCAAAGCACATATCTTAACCTCCTTTCTACAGAGAGAAGAGCAAAGCTTGTGGCTACCTACCTTCTCTGTCTGCCCAAAAGAAAAGGCAACACCGCTAACAATTTTTAATGTCCTAACAGGAAGGGCTAGGCAGAAAAATAAAAATTAAAAAAAAAAGTGAAGACACTATCTCACTGCCTTATATACACCCAAACCTAACTGTGCAACTGAAATATCAATTAGGAATCCATTAATTTGTCTCATCTACTTTTCCCTTATTTCCCAATAAACCACCACCACCACCAAAAAAAAAAAACCAAAACAGTAGTAAGACCTGGAATGAGAAACCTGAAGACCTGTTAAATAACTTACCCCTATGAGTACTGTTTTGCCTTTGAGATTTAAGGAACTTTCCTTCACTGTTAGAGACTGGATCTGATTCTGACGTTCCTCTGAAGTCATGCACTCCGACATCCAAATCACCCCTTTCCTGTTTAGTAAGCGCTTCAACCCGTACTTTTCTGTTCTTGCTTTTCTTGCTCTCTGCCTTCTTTTCAGAAGGCAGAGATTTAGAAACAGGAGTTGCAGAGCCATCTTTTGATTTTTCATTCTTATGGGGTCTGGTAAACCAAGAATTAACAGATATACTATCTGATTCATCGATTAAAAATTCACATTCACTTTCTATATCTTGATCCTTCACAGGAGGAGGTGATGGCAGTGATAATGACACTGAATACCTAAAGAAAGGAAGAACAATGTATTCAAATCATTTGGGGGAAAAAAATTGACTTTCAATCTTTCAAATCTAGTTGTGACTCTAGAACACCTAAACATCCTACAGGACATTCCTCAGAAGAATTATGAAGTTCATTATTCACTGCCCTTTAGTTTCCAAAGAGAGCACAAGGCCTGCTTCTTCTTGCTTTGGCTTCATATTCACACCATGTTATTTCTCACATGCCAAATAGTCAGCTTCTTATCTAACCAGTCAGATCCATATTAGCTCTGAAAAAAGACTTTTTGATCACTGCAACCATAGGATTTTCCTGAATCCTCCAACCCACCAATCAAAACATCTCAGGCTCAATCTGAAACACTATTCAGCCATGTTGTAGGTAAGCCCATCTGGCAACAAAGCACCATGTGGCTGCTCACTCACTCCTCCCCAGTGGGATGAGAAGGAGAAAATATAATGAAAAGCTTGTGGGTCAAGGACAGGGAAGGATCACTCATCAATTATGGTCACAGGCAAAACAGACTTGACTTGGGGAAAAAAAAAAATCCATTTAATTTGTTATCAATCAAATCAGAGTAGGATAATAAGAAGTAAAAACAAATCTTAAAATGCCTTCCCCCCACCCCTCTGTTCTTCCTGGGCTCAGATTTGCTCCTGATTTCTCTACCTCCTCCCCTCCAGTGACACAGCGGGATGGGTAACGGGGGTTACGGTCAGTTCATCACCCGTTGTCTCCGCTGCTCCCTCCTCCTCGGGGAAAGGACTCCTCACACTCTTCCCTTGCTCCAGCATGGGACCCCTCTATGAACTTCTCCAACGTGAGTTTTCCACGGGCTGCAGTTCTCAAACTGCTCCAGCGTGGATCCTTTCCACAGGGTGAAGTCCTCCCAGCAACAGACTGCTCCAGTATGGGCGTCCCTCAGAGTCCCGGCCTTCTTCAGCCACATCCACCCGCTCCAGCGTGGGGTCCTCCCCAGGCTGCAGGTGGGCATCTGCTCCACCGGTGACCTCCATGGGCTGCAGGGGCACTGCCTGCCCTCTCACCACAGGCTGCAGGGGTTCTGTCAGGCACACACCCACCCACCCCTCCTCCTTCACTGACCTGTGTCTCCAGAGTTGTTTCTCTCACATCCTACTCCCCTCTCTGCTGCAGGCTTTCCCCTCTTAAATCCATTATCACAGAGGCACAGCCACTGTTGCTAATTGGCTCAGCTTTGGCCAGAGGTGGGTCTGACATGGAGCCAGGGAAGTTTCAAGCAGTGTCTCACAGGCGCCACCGCTGTAGCACCCCCACACATTATCAAAGCCCCTGCCACACAAACCCAATACAAACAGCTACATACTATTTTACTGGCAGACATAAGCAACCGCACTCTTAAATCCTAGCAGTACAAAACTTTAAAACAACTATTCAAACCCTTTCTCAAGTGGCATTCTTCAGTAACATTGGACTATCCCAAAACATTCTCCAAGATCACGTTTATAGATAAAAGGATGCTGTTCCAGTACTGGGCTGTTTTATAAGCAAATTATGTTCCATATTAAGCCTCAAAACAAACCTTTTTACAGGCGTTTCTGTTGCTACAGCTGCTAAGACAACTGAAGAGAAAGTCTTCTCTTTTTGCACAGAAGACGTAGCAATATGTTCTGTTCCTTGCACAACAACCTTATCTCTCCCAGTCTGAGGTCCTTCCAAATTTTCAACTTCCACGTGCCTCTTCACTGCAGCAGGAGTATTTTGGTCAAAGTGTAATCTGTGTATGAAAAACAGCACTCAAATATGATGCTATGAATCCCAAATTCACATTATTGTGTGGATGGACAGATGCTCTCATTTTTTCCCGCTGACAGCGTTTCACTTCTTACAAACAAGCTTCCATTTCACCAAAGTGAGGGCTGCTCAGCAAGACAAATCCCTAATTTTAAGAGGATGTGCTTCAGAAATTGATAGGTTTCATAGACCCTAGGTGCACTCTCTTCCCAATCTCACTGCATCAATGGGAATCAATGGAATCAGTGTCAGTTCCTCTCTATGATCTACCCCAGAGATTCAGTCTTCCAGAAAAGCAGAACTGTAGCTGAGACCACCAGCCACTATTGCAGCTGGGCTTCAAATTTTCCAAAGAGGAGACAGTCATCACAACTGAAGTTGTTCTACTTTGCATAAAACATTTGTATATTCAGAGCGAGAGGAACAACTGCTCATCTCTGCTTTAACAAAATTTTTGTTAACTTTTAAGGTCAACAATGTCAATAGGATTCACTGAAAAAGTCTAGACTATCTGAGAAGCTGATAATTTGGGGCACTTTCTTACAAAAGAGGAGTTCAAAGCTATTCTGACAGCGTTCCTGCACTTGGGCACTGCACTTTTAGGAATTAACCCTTGTCACCAAAATATTTAATAAAAACAAATTCTGCCCTTTCTAAACCCAGATATGGAAACTTTCCAAAAAGGTTGGCATTACTTTCTGAGTTCAAAATCCAAACTCATAAATGACTGAAAACATGGTGTTAAGTTACCCTAAGGGGCAGGCAGGGGAGCGACCGGGGACACACCACCATCACGTTCAATTCTACTTACATATACTCAGGAGAACTATTCACTTCCTCCACAAGGATAGGTGATCCGACAGACCCATGATCATCCGCAGGGTCCAAAACCAGAGCATGACTTTTGCACAGGGCTTCAGCATCTTTTAATGTATTATCTGTTTCTCTTTTAGACACAGGAGACTTTGTTGTTTTAGAATCAGCTACATAATCATCTGTTGCAGGCTTCAGGGATGATTCATGTGACCATCCTGCCATACATATAGAATAGCTTTAATTCTTCTACTCAAAACCTCACAAAACCCCAATAAATAGTTACCCAAAAAAGCTTAATTCAATAATAGTGCTACCAACCTCTGCTGCTGACTGGTTTTAGTGGTGATGCAGGTAAGGGCTCTGCAGAATTAGAGGCTCTTTTCACAGAGTTTGTTAATCCTGCCTTTGGCTGCCACAGTCAATAACAAATAATGAGACAGAGTAAAATATTTGATAAAGGAGCAGTATTTTGACAGGAATATAAATTTCTACAGAACACAATATAATTTCCTTCCCTTAATTCTTACTCATTTGAAGCACAGTTCTACTTTAACTAAACATTTCAATTTTCTATAGCGCAAGACTTCCTAAAACAAACTGTAAATTTCAAACAAAAGGTAAAACAGTGTATACAGTAAAAATCAATTTACAGCTTTGAACAAACATACTGCTAGTCAACAGCCAAGCCATTCATTCTTTTCATTAGAATTAAACACTTTAACTCACCTTTAGTGAGACAGGCTAAGATTTTGCAGGAATGATTTTGAGACTATACAGTATTCTAACATCAGTCTAAAGTAAACAAATATCATTATAAATGATATCTGTTCTCAACACTGCCATTAATAGAATATCCTGTTTTTCACATAAAAGCTACTAGAATCAAAATATTAAAACTAAATATACAAACTAGATTATTGGCATCATTCTCTCAGACAGCACATTAACAAGTCCTTCAATTTGTTTCCACTCTTCAACAAAGTTTCTGTACAATAACTTAGTATATCTGCAAACTGTTTATCAGGAGTTGACAAACTCCTTTTATACAAGAATCATCTTTCTAACATCTTACTATCCATCAGATAGCCAAGAAACGTGTCCACGTATCTGGCAAAGTGACTGAAACCAACCCTCAACGGCATCCAAGACAGCCTTACCCACCATCAGTTAAGGCAGCATGCTTCAACATGAGACCATAGAAATCTAACTATCCTGGACAAAAAGCTGAAAAGGCTTTCACTAGTGAAAACCCAAGAAAATAAGCTACTAAATAAATCTAGTTAGAATATTTACTATTGGAGCACAAGAAACTAAAAAACCTCAAACATTACCAACAACTATTACAGAAGCTTAAATTATAGCCTACATACTAATACAAGTGACATACAGAGCTTATTCACTCCACACTCATACAGAACTAAATCCTACAGAACTACACTTGTACTCAGTGCTACCTTGTGACACTGCCATAACTAACTTACCCCTTGGCTCTGTACTGAAGTCCTCCTCTCATTTCTGACAATAGGAGTCGAGCAACGAGCTGCATTTGGAGATCTTATTGTAAGATCACTGACACAACCTATAGAGGAAAAAACCTAAGTAAGGGATTCTTGGAATTGTCCAGGTTTCATTTATTTTAACAAGTTGCTAAGGCTCATTAAGCTCATATAGATCCAAACAAGAAAGAAACCAGCTACTCAAGAGAAAGATTACATTTAGAAGACAGCTTGGACACAGTTTTAAGCAGACGGGAAGAGAGTGCTTTTAAAGGCCATGAGAAAGACTATTTTTATCCATTTTGTATCTATTTTTTATTTCTATTTATATATATTTATTCTATTTACATATATATTTTCACTAAATATAACACAAGGAAGAAATTAACTTTTTCTTTAAACAGCAATTTAAGCAAAACACCAAATAGAAGCTTACTTTCAAAACAATCCTGTATGAGTTGCAGTACATTTTGACCTGGCTGTACATCAATCTTATTTCTAGAAAGAAAAGGGGAAAAAAAAATATTTTCATTCAAAAATACTAAATGCTCCTGTCAGAGCAACATAAAAGTAGTAAAGTTCTAACTAGTTACTATTTTAAATTATTTCTCCTAGTCCCAACTTTAATAGTTCTTACCAACCATTTCCATGAACAATTACCTGCCAAGAAACTTTTCTAAATAAGGATTCTAGGCAAAAAAAAAAAAACCACTGTGACAAAATATGATGAGAACATAGAAATCTCTCTACATAAAAGAAAACATACAACTACTGCAAGAGCCCTCATGTAAAAGAGCTTTGGGATGAATAGATTCTCACTTGAAATAAGTAATTTTTTTAAAAATCAATCCTCAAGTAATGCTGCCTGCACACTGATCCAGTTTCAGCAGACCCAGAAATTAAAGGTGTAGGCTGCACATCTAACCCTTCATACAAGGAGTCACCCTCTGCTTCTCTTTCTACTACTTATCCACAGTTACTCTGTGCTTCTACAGAAGTTTCAGCAGCAAGAGAATCCGCTTGAGGTATCAAATCTATAAGCAAGTGAACAGTTCAGTACTCAGATTACTACTCTAACCCTCTACAGGACAAATGAAAATGGCAGAAGTGATCCACTAACAGATCATGCTGATCACAAGCAAAATAACAAGAGAAAAGCCATGAAGCATTCATCCAATAAACATTATTATACGCCTTTAAAAACAGGTAATTTGGTAAGCTCATGAAACGTATCTCTAAAAATGGATTCCAATTACAAAAAGCTCACAGATTTCTGACATGCTTTTAAAGAAAGCTACAGAACTGCAAATACTCAAACTCATCTCTAACATTTACAAGCAAGGGCCAAATAAGCTAGAACTCTGCATGGGCTTCATTTCTCTCCCTCCTGAAAGGGAAAATGTTTGCACAGACTACTGCTTCAGTGCTCAGGCAGCCTAGTTAGGGCTAGCATGGTCTGCTGCCTCAGCAGAGTAGAAAGGAAATCCTTGGTGCTTCATCCCCCGTTACAATTTGCTCCTCCCACCACTAAGAAATACAAGAAGTTTGGGAAACATCATATGATCACTTTAAGAAGATACACCTAATAGTTTTGACATTAAGCTCTTAGACAAAAATCAACATAAGTTTTCCAAACAATCGTATCTAAGATTAAAGTTTTAAATGTAAATTACCTTCCTCCATGGCAGAATCTTGTTCTGTAGTCTTTTTTAAAATGATTCTGTAAAGCAATAAGAATCAACTTTTACTAAGCATGGTGACACTTGACAGAAAAACAAGTGACCAACCTCCTGTTTCTCCTGTAAGAAAGTCTCAAGGATTCTCAATACATCTGAAACTGGTGGGTGTTACTGAAGCCCTGTTTTTTCTTGCAAAGCCACAGTAGCTACAGCCCCTGTAACAACTGCCAGAAGTTCAGCTTTCCTCAAGAACCAGCAAGCATCTGTTGCATTTAAAGTCAGAAAGACTTACAGGAGACTTATATGGCAAAAATCACAAAGAATCTAATGTTTTGGTTAACATTTCTGTGATGACTACAGAAATAATCTTTTAAGTAAGGAAAAGAATGAACTAGCAAGCTAGGTACCTCGCCTTGCAACGTATCTGCTGCCCTGTGAGAACTGCTCACATGGAGATTCTTACTCTGTGTTTATCACAGGCAAGACCACGCTGACAGGCAGTGAGAGCACATCAGCCGTTCCATGGTAAAGTCTCAATTAACGCCCAGCACTACTTCATATACTTGAACCCCTAGTATAATCAAAACCATTTGAAGAGCAGACATGACTCCAGTCACCCATTACAACTAGAGTAGTAATGATTCAAGTGACAGCATAATATCAGCATTACCTTCTATGTCAACAAACAAATAAAATAAAGCCTACTGAGCTGGGAACAGGCAAAGACTGTCAAGGATAAGGAAAGGCAAGCCAAGAAAAATTAAAGGGCTAAGCGGAGTACAGGTTTTCAACAAAGTGACACGAAAATGTTTCCAAAAAATTCTAAATGTTTGTCTGAAAAACAATTATGACCTATTCTTCATTTCTGTAAACTGGAATAGAGTGTACGTGCAGCGTGCAGATTATCTAGTCCCAATAGAAGAGAACTCAGCACATTTGTCCTAAATTTGCCATATTGACATTACTTTGCAGTTCTTCGTGACTCCTCTTTGGATATTACTTCTGGTAATAAAAATAACAAAAACCACATAAAAATTTATTCCACTGCAAGTTTTCAACATCCGCTTGACATGGCAGGAAGAAACTCTAGGTCACGCAGGAAAACGACTGACCAGAAGTCACCCGCTGGCATGCAGACCCGTACTCCACAGCACATCGGTCACTCGGGCTCAAACTTCTTCCCCTTGCAAGACCGCAGTATAATCAACTGGCAAGCAACCGTTCACGTAAGAAAATTAAAAATGCCGGTAACGGATCTAAAAGAGCACTTAACAGCTTATTTACTGTTAAGTTCATACCCCGCTACACAGGAAGAGGTTTTAAAACTTAAGCTCCTCTGACAGAGGAAAGGAGGAGGAAGGCAAGTACGTCTCTAGAGCGTCCAGACAAGAGCAACCGGTTCTGCACAGGCCACCCTGTGAAGGGAAGATCTCCAGAGACGAGCAAGAGGCAGCCCGAGGGGAAACCGGGCCCCCCGCAGCCAAGCCCTCAGAGCAAAGTGCCGGTGCCACCACCCAGGGCCGGGAGGGACGGCAGCGCGCCAACACCGGCCTCGCTTTCCTCAGGGAGAAGCGGCGAGAGGGGGAAGCCCCGGAGCCCCACCGCGCCGCAGGGCCGGAAGGACGAGCCCACCCGCCTCTCGTCAGCGCGGAGCGGAGCGGGCCGCGCCCCACCTGCTACGGAAGGGAACGACCGCGGCCCCAAACACACTCCCCTCCCTCCATCCCTCCCTCCCTCCCTCCCTTCCCGCCCTCTCTCACCAGGGCCGCTGCCATCCCGAGCCGCCGTGAGGAAAACGAAGACAGATCGCGGGACCGGGACCGGGACCGGGACCGGGACCGGGACCGGGACCCGGCCAAGCTGCCGCCCCCGCCCCAGCCCCCCACCGCTTTCAAACCGCGAGCGCCTTCCCACTGCGCGCGCGTACCAGCGACACGCCGCGCGCCGGTCACACCCCCTCCACCCCCGCCCGCATTGGCTGCTTTGCGCGCCCGCCCCCCCCACCCTCCCCGCCGGCCGTTGCGGCGCCTGCGCAGGAGCCAGCAGCTGCCGGCTCCGCCCTCTCACGAGACGTCACGACTCTTCGCTGCAGGAGCGCAGAGGTTCCTCCCTGAGGGTAGGCGGGCAGTGGGAGTAACGCTTCTTTTTTTTCCTCTGTTCTCTCCTAGGAAGCGCCACTTCAAGTCCTCGGGTTTTTAAACGCCACAAGACACCTACCGTAACCACAAAGGGTTACAATTGTTTGGTTTGGTGGTTTTTTTTTTAATAAATATTAGAATCGTAGAAACGTTTAGGGTGGAAAAGACCTTTAGGATCAAGTCCAACACTTAACCTAGCATGCCAAGTCCACCAGAACCATATCCCTAAGTGTCACATCTACAGGTCTTTTAAATACCTCCACAGGTGGTGACTCAGCCACTTCCCTGGGCAGCCTGTTCCTGTCCTTGATAACCCTGCTGGTGAAGAAATCTTTCCTATTATCCAGTCTAAACCTCCTTTGATGCAACCTGAGGCATTTAGTCTTGTCCTTGTCACTTGGGAGGCTGACACCCACCTCACCACACCCTCCTTTCATGTAGCTGTAGAGAGCGCTAAGGTATCCCCTCAGCATCCTTCAGGCTACCAACTTGGAGAACGTTGAGTGAAGAACTCAACAATTAGCAAAAACAACTGTTTGAGAACATAACACTGCAACATCCACAGTACCTTACAGTATATGCAAAAGACAGCCCAAAAATATAATTTTAAATGATACTTTTTATGACACACTGATAATATTAAAGACGTTTCTCTGCTATTCGAACCATGGGTTTTCTGCAGCAGAGTCTCAGACATTGAATCTTATTTAAGAAATTATTCAAGTAGTACAGACAATTAAAAAAAAAAAAAAAAAAAAAACAAACCAAAAAAAAACAGCACAAGCTGGGTGCCTCCAGAGATGGACCTTGAACAAAGAACTCTGCCTTTTGCCTGTCACTGTAACAGGTGATTCATCCCTCCCTGTCCTTATCTCAAATCCAGAGCCTTTCCTTATTTTCTCTTCCTCAGCACTGGGGTGCAGCAGGGAGTGAGCAGCTGCATGGTGCTCAGTTGCCCTCTGAGCTCAAACCATGACAGTCTTTTGGTCCAATGGAGATTCCTGACCTGGGATCTTCTAACACCTTTTAGGATTCTTTCTCTGTTTCCAGCAAGGCTGTTATCTTGTCAAATTGCAGCTTCTGCTGATGGCTGTAGCCTCTTTATCTTCTGGTTTGGGCAGGCTCTGGAAGGCCTTTTTTGCTTAACTAAGTAAAAGTTCAGCAAATCGAGATGGAATTTCACAGCTTGCAGCCTAAGGCTTTCACAAGTCTAGCTACTTGTGCAAAGTAAGTATATGCTAAGCAGTCTACCAAATCACATAATATTATGCTGTGACCTTGAATCTGAGAGATTCATTCTATTTAAAACTTACTTATTTAAGCTAAATGCCTAGTATTTCTTAACAGTCCTCCCTTTGTTTTTATTAAGCAGTCCTGCTAATATGTCAAAAAGAACTCTATAAGTCTTTTGAGGCATTTAACTACTGCCCATATATACAATACTATTACAAGTCAACAGACATAATAGAATCACAGCTAACAAGATCATCACTGCTTGGAGCATGTGATTATAGATTCCCATAACTGTTGGTGACCACCCAAAGAGAGTTTCCCACCAGCAGTGTTCTCCACCCTTCTTCACTCTTTCCAAGCCATGATGTATCTCTTCTGCATCATGATGAATGGTGATTAGAGTTTTTTGTCCATTGTTTCAGATATGTTCTAACAATTGATACAGGTCATTGTTCTGTATTAATTTCTTTACCACCAAGATTCATTCAGTTGGGGATAGATAATAAATGTCCAGTTAGTGTATAATTAGACTGTATGAATTGATAGGAGCTTAATAATTAAAGTCACACCCCACAGTGTTAGTAAAGTTATAAACACAAATATTTGAGTGATTACTTGTATCTACAGTAACGTTACCTACGAATAAAGATTCACAAAGGGTTCTCATACAAACACATCCCTTTCCAATATGCACAGGTACTGTTTCAAGGTTTTCATAGGGACGTAATTCAAAATGGCAGACTCTGTTCAGTATCAAGACGTGTTTTGGGCTTTGATGGCATTACTTTCACAGATAAATCCTCCTTGGTCCCGTGCAACACAGGCACCAATATCAGCAGTTTGCCCCTTGTTCCCGATTTGTTGGGCCCACACTCTATATTGTAGTGGATAGAGTACAGTTCCATCGTGATTTAACTCTAAAACAATGATGGGGTATATGGTGTACACCAAAGCATTGCGTATGGTTAAGAAAAAAGCAGCGGCCCTATTGTTGTTGGGGTCATAAGTGAAATTGACTGAATACTGCCAGAGTCAGAATTTTCTATCAAATTTAGTTGCATTGTCCTAAATTACTTTTCGAATCAGTGTGGGTAAAATGCCTTCTTCACCTTCTCTTATAATTGCTGCTACTGTAGAGTGCATCCAAAGTTGAGCATGGATACAGCTAAGGGCTAGTGAAATATTGCGTTGGATTGTTCCAAGTGCATCTACAATCAGCTGATGGTCTTTTCCATTAATTTTTTCCCACTGAGGTAGGATACCAGACACAAGCCATTGGTTAGTCTCTAATGCTAATAGAGGACTGCAGTGGGTCTTCTAATTTGCTTAACTCACTCGTGGTTGTACTCAGTTTGTTTACAAGTACTTCAGCATTTATGCTATTTGAGACTCAATTGTGTCTCTGCGATACCAGTTGAATCTCATTTTGTTTGTCTTGAGGGGATAAATGTTCGCTCATGTAACCATGCTAACCATCCTGCATGAGATGTACTTAGAAATGGTGAACAGGTCGGTTTGACTGTAGAAACATTAACTTCTATCAACAGTTCTGCCTGTTTCAGTGACCATGAGGGATTAAACCAACACTTGTTGTTGCTCCACATGTTTGAATAGCATATGGTCCAATTTCAGATATTGTGGGATCAACTCCTCTCTTATTTGCAGAGTTGGAGTTAGATTCATTGTGGTAGGTAGAGGGACTGTAGCTGGTATTGAGTCAATTCTTTCACAAGATACTGTGATTTGTATTGTGCCAACTTCACCATTAACCACCACACAACACCTGAAATCAAGTGTTAAACAGCAACCAGTATCATTGGGACAACCAGATCTATTTTTTCCAACTACCTCTGTCACAGTTAGATTATACACCTTACTCGTTTCTCACAAAAAATAAGAGTCCCTTCTTTAGGTTTTTCAAGATTTGGGGAACTGAGTCTTGTATACCCTCTCTGGATGATTTTCTTTTCAAATGTATTGCTTTTCCACCACTCTGGAGCATCCATCCTTTTTAATCTTGTACCTTAACCATGCTGTAGTAGTCATCAGAGTCGACAGTATCAGGAGTAGTGAAATATCCCACTTCATTCTTTGTTGATTTTCAGGAGTCTGTCATCTGTCATCTGGTTGGTTATCCACCACTAGTTTGACATGAGAATGGTGTATCCCACTTTCTTGTCTTTAACAGCAAAATAAGAACACAATAAGACAGTGTATGGCTCCTCCCATTCGGGTTCCAATTTTGATTTTCAGGAAAATACTTTAATTAAGGCTTCATCTCCAGGCTGTATATCATGTACCTGTATTTCAGGCGGTGTGGGTTGATACCATTGAGCAAATTTCCTTTTATCTTCAAACCCTTTTTGCATATATAAAATACTGGGTTGACCATTCGTCTCCATCTAAGAGGTGGTCCTAGCACAGAGAAAGGTCCCAAGAGCAGCTAAGTACCTGCCAAACACTTTCTGCTGGTGACAACCATAGAGGTTGGGGAGGTGTATTTACAATATCCCATAGCACTATTCTTAAAAATTCAGGCCACTTCAAACTACCTGACTGCAAGTTTGAGCAACTGTATTTTTGAGAGTTCCATTCATTCTTTCCACCTGTCCTGACAACTGTGGATGATATAGAATGTGTTTAGAATCGGTATAAGTAGTTACCCACTGATTACATCCCCACCAGGCTACTCTTGTTAATGCAGTTAATTCAGCCTGTTGTACACTCACTGAGGGTTGTAGAGGTTCTGCTTCAAGTACCTCTGAGTTTCTCACCATGGCATAGCCTTTGTGTCATTTTCCTTTCACATACTATGACGATCCATTGGTGAAAAGGGTTAGATCCGAGTTCTCTAGAGGTTGATCCTGCAGATCTTCCCACAGGCAACTGGAGTGAAACTACCTGAGCAACAGTCATGATGAGCCTCACCATTGGAAGGGAACAGGCAGTAAAGTTGCTGGGTTCGAAACACTACATCTTTTTAAAGTAATATTATCTGCATTCAAAGTTGTTAATACATAGTGATGTGTTCTTTGTGGGGACAATGCTTGTGTAGCATGTTGCTTAAGAAGCAGTTCTTCATGCGGGACATACATGGTTGTTGGGTCACCCAGGACTATTGGTCTGCTTTTTCCTACCATAATCACCATTTCTACTATCGCTCTAACACAGGAATCACTCCCTGCTGGTACAGGATCCAGCTGAACTGAGTAATAAGCCACAGGGCGGCGGTGTGGACCTAGTTTTTGAGTAAAGGAGTATGCTGGCTACTCCTTTGTTCACATGCACAAATAGTTCAGAGGATTTAGAATAATCCCAAAATCCCAGTCCCGGAGCAGAAGCTAAAACTCCTTTCACATCTTGGAAAGCCTTTTCTCTCTCTGGACCCCACTGTATAGGTTCCACTGCCTCTGCCTTGGTAGTGCCTGTCAACGGCTTACTTAACTCCCCTAGCCCCAGTAAGGGTCTGCAGTATCCTACTGGGCCTAAAAATCCTCACAGTAGTTTTCTTTGTTACTGGTCAAGGTATTTCTACAATAGCCTGAACCTGTTCTGGGTCTACAAGTCTTTATGCTTCTTTTAATATGAATCCTAAATATTTTACTTCCTGCTGACACAGCTGAAGCTTAGAAAGAGATATATGGTGACTTTTTGCTGCTAAGCAATACATAGAAAAATAGTATCTTTCAAGCAATCTTTGTATGTCTTACTGACAAGTAACAAATCACCTACGTATTGTGGAAGTGCTTATTCACCTGGTAGTCTTATGTGTCTCAAATAATTTCTCAGTATTTGTGAAAAAAAAAAAAAAATGTAGGAGACCCTGGATAACTCACATAAAGGCAAACAAAAGTTGATGGTCCTCATCTAAGGGGATACTAAAGAAAGCGGTGGCTAGATCAATCACAGTAAAATACCTAGCCCAATGTGGTAGTTGTAAAGTGTGCTGGAGGTATCGGGCACTACTGAGTGAGGAACAACTATGTGCTGGTTAACTACCTGCAGATCTTGTACTAAATGGTATTCCAGGTCTCCATCTTCATCTAATCTGTTACTTTTTACAGGGAGTACAGGAGTATTATATGGTGAGACAGGCTTTCAGAATTCCTTGGGTCAAATTCCAGTCTATTTGCTTTTGAACACTCTTCTCTGCTTCTTGAGGAACAGGATACTGTTTCACAGCCCGAGGTGGGGTTCCTCCCTTTGTTTTTATGTTTGGGGCTTGAGCTGAGAGCAGGAATGCTACATCCATCCCAGTTTTACTCCACAGTTTTGTTGGTATGGATTTCAATGCTTCCAGTATTTTTAGCTCGTTTTTTGGACTTTCAGTGACCACAGTTATTTCCATGATTATTAGGTCTATTCCTTCAGGTCACAAGCATCATTCTATGTCCAGAGCCTGCAAGAGAACTCCCCCTAACAGGCATGCTGGGGAGTCGTCCGCTAATACAAATCAGTATGTCCCTGCTGGTTCAGTTGGGTTACACACATATTAAAATTTCTAATCTTTCTGCTCCCCCTCTCCAAGATCCACAGGGCCCCTCTCACCCAGTCCTTGTGATTGCCAGTCCTCCCAGAGCAGTTCTCCCAGGTGATGGTTTCCTTCTCTTGTCCTTTCCTGCAGCCAGCATGAGCATTCCCACTGTGTATGTCCTAAATTTCCTCAATAATAACACTCCCTTCCAGAATTCCTTCCCATTCCCCTTTCTTTTTTTTCCTGGTCTTAGTCCAGACCTGGTATCTGGTTTTCTCCCTCAGCCCCTATCTCTCACTTCTAAATTCCTTGCTAAAGCCTCAGCCAGTAAATTTGCCTCCTAGTCTTCTGCTTTTTGCCTTTCCTCACACCCGTCGTATACAAACACCACAACACTCAGAATCTTTTGCAAATTCTCTCCTTGCCACCTGAGTGCATTATTAAAATTCTGAGGGGTCATTCCTTCATATTTTAGCAGAGCTTGTCAGAGCCATCCCCAGAAATCCTAGGATGTTCATCTGTCTGATAAACAGCTTGATCCCCTGTATTATTATCGTCCCAGTTTGGATTATTTGCTGGCCAGGGGTTTCTGTCTCCTTCCATCTGTCGAGCTAATTCAGCATCCTTTGTAGTTATTTTCTCTCTCTCATCAGGTCAGAGTAATTCCCTCAGCAACACCTGGGTATCTCCCTAACTGTGTTTGTGCCCAGTGCATATGTTAGAAAACAGTTGAACAAATTCCTCAGCATCCTTCCTCGGTCTCGGCATTTTAGTTATAGAGCCAAGTCACTAGGATTCCAAGGCTGGTTAGTAAATACATGCAAAACATGTTGGGGGAAGGGGAAGCATGGCAGCAGGATTAGGTAAAACAGTAGTAAGCATGGGATAGAGAGTCCAGGAGCTGGCAGAGAGGAATCAGAAGACCAAGAAGGAGCAGTAGGTGCATAAGGTGGGGTGGACATGGTTGGGGCATTATCTGAGGCAGTACCTTCCACTACTACACGTGTTACCTTTGGCGTTGCCTCTTCCATCCCACACCTCTGGCTTGGGTGTTTTCTCTCACACACCCAATTATCCCAAACTTACCAGTAATCTCTGGGAACCTATCCTCCAGGCAATGTTGCAGAAGGGTAAGTCTGTGCTGGTCAAAGGTTCCTTGTGGTGGCCACAGTTTGGCCAGGTTTTCATCTCTAGTTACAAACGGCCAGCCTTCTCGGTATAAAGTAAATAAAGTAACTGTGTGCTTTTTTGATAGACTTGCTGTACCAAAAATTCTTTTCCAGTTTTGTAGTACCTCAGCCAAGGGCATCTCCTCCTCTGCGCCAGGTATATTTCCCATCACTTTCCTTATTTCTCCGTGTGTGCTTTATGCCAGTCAGGCCATGCACCAACCCTATTTTGTGTTGTGTGCTTTACACTGGTCAGGCCACGCACTCAACCTTTTCACTTCGTGTGTTTTACACTGATCAGGCCATGCACTGCCAAAAGCTGCAGCAAGAAAATTCTCTCTCTATTCCCACTAAGTCTGATCAGGAAATTTTAACACTCACTTCCAAAGATCCCAGGTGAACTCACCCAGTGCTGGCAGTTGGATGTTTGGAGACAAGAGGATCCAAATGTGGTGCCCAGGGGTACCATCTGGGTTGACAAACTGTTAAAGAAGTTTCTTTCCAATTTGAACCTTAGGTTTCCTGTAGCAGAGTCTCGGGCATCAAATCTTATAAAAAGAATAATTTATTCAAATGGTACAGCTGGAAAAAAAAGCCAGCTTGAGCTGGGTGCCTCTGGAGAGGGACCCTGAACAAAGAAATCCCTGGGCAATTATACCCTTACAATCTGTGCACCCAGCCCTCATGCATTCTTCATCCATTCTTCAGGCTCCTTTTGGTCCAATGGAGATTTCTAGTCTGGGATCTTCTAACACCTTTTAGGATTCTTTCTCTGTTTCCAGCAAGGTTGTTATCTTGTCAAATTGCAGCTTCTGCTGATGGCTGTAGCCTCTTTATCTTCTGGTTTGGGCAGGCTCTGGAAGGCCTTTTTTGCTTAACTAAGTAAAAGTTCAGCAAATCGAGATGGAATTTCACAGCTTGCAGCCTAAGGCTTTCACAAGTCTAGCTACTTGTGCAAAGTAAGTATATGCTAAGCAGTCTACCAAATCACACAATATTATGCTGTGACTCCTACATCCTAATGCTAAGTGATTGACTCTGACTGATTCATTCTATTTAAAACTTACTTATTTAAGCTAAACACCTAATATTTCTTAACATCAAGCAGTGGACTAAGTGCTGGTTTGTCATCAGCAGCCCTGCCAAGCAAAGGTGCAAGTACCCATGTTCATTAGGTTTTCTGTAACATTCAACAACACAGTCGAATTTTGACACTTAAACACAACCAATAGAGAGCAAGTACAAAAATCTCCAATTTAGCCAAAATCTGAGAACCTGTACCTGTCCCCAGCCATTTTTAGAGATAACATGGAGAATTTACTTTCATGTGTAGGGCTGAACCTCTCTGCTGCTAGAGTTGTTTGGCAGCTATCTGATCTATCACAGGTCACCTTACTGGATAATTGTGTGCTCATTTTACACCTACTTGCGGCTGAGAAACAGAAAGGCCATGAAGCTGTTCAACAAAAAACAAGCCTTTTTTTTTGTTGTTGTTAATAATATTTCCTTTGCGTTTAGTAGCAACCAGCATTGAAACACCAAGTCTTGTCATCCCTGTTCTTTCTGACCACTAAGGGGAAGGCCAGAAACTAAGATAAACTTCATAGTTCTGTAAAACTGATGGAAATTTCACTCCTTATTTCATCAGGACCAACGTTTCATTCCTGAACTACCATCTCACGTCACAATTTCTTTAAAAGCTTTGGTATATTAATTAGCTCTTCCACAATGAAAGTCATCTTCCTATGTGGACATTGTGAAGTTGATTTATCCTTGCCAGTTATACACAGCTGTAGGTAGATTTATTTCCAATATTTCCAATATTGCTTTTAGTGGCCTGTAATCCCCCATGCCATTTGCTAAAGAAAGTTCAATTCTGATAGTCTCAAAGTTAATCCATCTTCTGAATGAAGACTTTGAATATTATTTCAGAGGCAGCTGAGAGCAGTCTCCCCTGTGGCAACAGCCCATTAAAAGTCCAGTGCTGTAAGCCATCAAAAGCAGGCTTTTCCACCATGACCTCCAAGTGACACCCATCACAGTAATGATGCACTGTTGTACCAGCGCGCTCATCGTTTGAATGTCTCACCTCAAGCAAACCAGAGGAGCACACTCTAACGGAAAAGATCCTTTTAATCCATTCAGTCTTGTTCCCCCATGATCATACACCAAGCAAAGAGTTGTCTGTGTGTGCTGACCTAAAAGCGAGTACGGAGACTTCCTCTCTTTGAGGTGCTGTTTTTCCCCCCTCTCGCCGGGGCGAGTTCTCTGGCTGAGGCTGATACGGAGCAGACTGAGAGCAACGGGAGTGGGGAGAGAAAAAGAACACAGCAACAGAGAATATCCAGGTATCCCACTGAGATACCTAAAAGATGCTGAGAGGTGTTAGGGAGCAGCCTGAGGAAACTCCTCAGCCAGCCCCTCGGCAAATCTTCCACGAGAGGCAGAGGATCACTGGTCTGCCCTTGTACTTCCAAGGTTACCTGTCTGTCCGGCACTCAAGATGCCAGGTAAGGTGCTTAATTCCGGGAAGTGGATGTGTTGAACTATTTCTTCAAAAATGTATTACTGGGAGCTACAGGTCTGTGGGGGGAAATGTTTCTCAGCACTGACTGACACAAATGATTGTGCTGAAATAATGATATCTGGTTATTTCTGTTCATATTACTTGGGGAGAGGGGGGAAGAGGGAGGAAGTAAAATAAATTATGTAAGATAACCATCAGTATCTCCAGGATCCATTATAATTTACTATTACATTCTGAAATGTGGATTGAATTTGACGGATTTCATAGCTACCACCATGGTGAAAAGCTAATGGAATATTTTTAATGCCAAGAGCAAAGTTTGACGTGGTTATATTGCTCTGATGCATCCCTCTATTTACTGGAGAACACTGTGATCCTGAAGTCTTCAGTGACACACCATCTGAAGTATATGTGAGATTCTCTACATTATTTTTTTTTTCTTGTTTGTAAGGGCTGATGATTTAAGATATGTGGACTACCTGGGAAAATACAAGTGACTTTTTTGACCCAGTAAAACTATTTAAGACATGAATCTGTAAATATCTATATGCTTGTGTGTGTTACAATAGAATGTGTGTTCAGAGCATGTCCCTAAATCAAGCTGATTGCCCTTTCTTAGAACTTCATTATGACAATCCCAGTACTTACCGTTACAAAGTAATTTTTACCCTACCTACACTCACATCTCTGTAGATGCAGAAGCACAGAGTAGAGAAAATGAGAGTTGCACAGAGCTAAAGGTAGATATAATCAAAAGACCAAAATAGCATGGTGGTTCACTAAGACAGGAACAACCAAATACCACAGAAAACAGGAACACCAAGAAACAAAAAGTAGAGTAATAATCCTATTAATTCTTCTGCAACACTATAAATTATTCAACACATTGCTTTGTTGTATCTAGCAGGAGAACACCTGCAAGTTTAACAAATGTCCCTGTTACATTCCTTTATTTATATCCTTTTACGTAAAACCTTATTTTCTTCCTGAACAATCCCCCCTCCTGAAATTCAGTAACTACCATACTGGAATAAAAAAAAACCTAACAGGGCAGAGCAATAACGTGCAGCCGATCTGAAGAGACTTGTGTGGGACTGACTAGGTGTATTAACACTTTTGAGAGGCCAGATGCCCAAGAGAAAAACATGTTCACGGGTGTGCAACAATAGCAAGTGCTCCTGGGCAACTACTATGACTACATTTTCATAGAGCAGAAAGCCCAGTTCATAACGTGCAGTTCCAAAATTTCCCATGACATCCAGCCCCATACCACAGCAAGCATTCACAGCCTTTGGTAATAATTTGCCAGGGACAGATGGTCTAATGAGGACATTTAGCTTACCACAACACTGCAGTGCTCAGAGGTCAGCGTCCAGGGACTCAGTGCCAGTAACGTTGGCAATGTGAGAGAAACCACCAGAAAGACGAGTTAGGAGCAAGCAAGGTGAAGAGCAAGGATCACTTGCTTTATGGAAGCTGCCTTCCCAATTCAGCATCCCACAACAGCTATAGTTCTCAGGGTATCAGGAGCACATGAAAATTGAAAAACCTTTCCCATCACTCTGGCATGACTGCATTAGGGAAGAGTTAGAAGAATCAGACAATCATATTTACCTTGGCATGGTGTTGATTTACGAACACTACTACACATAATTTAAAGACAAAGCATGTAAAATACCATTTCAAATGCAAGAAGTCCAGTTAATATGTCAAACTACCATCAAGCTCCATGACCTTCCTACAGCAACTAAACTGGCAGGACCAAAATTCAATGCAAATAGACACTTCAAGAGAACAGTGTTCAGAAAATTAGAGTGTTTAGACACGCTCACCTCGCACCATTTTCCGCTTGCATGACTTTAGGGAGAGCAACATTTTAAAGTGGCTTTTAAAATATATTTTCCTTCCATTACATACCCCCTTAAAATTGTTTGACAAATTGTTGACAAATGTTTAAAACACTTAAATTAGTTAAAAGTAAAGTTTTCCAGTTCCATGCTGGATTAGGATACTAGAAAACAAACCCTAGAACTTACATATCTTTTTGCATGCAAAAAGCTATTTACTGAACTTTTTTTTTTTTTCATAAACTGTCTACAGAATACATACTTGCTCTTTAACAATCTTTAAAACACTGAAAACTAACATGAGGGCACAGGATTTTCTTAGCATTTCTTTCACTTTCAGCATTTTGCGTGAACTAAAAATATGGTGTTCGCAACCTGACACTTCCTCCTTTCCAACAGGAATTTAGAGTGTATTGGACAGAACTCAGAGGAACTATGCTCTTCTTTTATGATGATAAGAAATCCCCAACAGTGAGTAATGTGCTACCTTTGTAACTACCTCAGTTTGTCAGTTATTTTCATCAAGTAATCCTGTAGCGGTTTGAGTCCAGCGAGCAACTGAGCACCATGCAGCCATTCACTCATCCCTTCCCTCCCAGCGCTGGGAAGGAGAAAATGAAGTAAAAGGCTCAGGACTGGGGATGACGGGGAGGTGTGGCTCACCCATTACAGTCACAGGCAAAAGACAGACTCGTTAGGGGAAGAAAAAGAACATCACTTTAACTCAAACATGAAGAAATAGAACACTTAACAGGCAAGGTGGGACAGTGAAAAGCACCACCATATCCAAAACCACCACCACATCCAAAACCACCTCCTCCCACCGGTTCCTTCTTCCCAGGCTCAGCTCTGCTCCCCATCTCTCTCCCCCCTCCCCAGCAGTGCAGGGGCAGGGATGGGGGTCACAGCCAGCTCCCTGCTCCTTCCTGCTCGGGAGGTGGGAGGACGCCGCACATTCCTCCCCTGCTCCACGTGGATCCCCTGTCATGGGAGACAGTCCTCCGTGAACCTTCTCCAGCGTGAGTCCTCCCCATGGGATGCGGCCGTTCCCGAGCTGCTCCCGTGTGGGTCCCCCCCGCGTGTTGCAGTTCTCCCCGTGCCGAACCACAACAGCGGGGCCGCTTCTCCCCTCAGAGCCCCGGCTGCCTTTAAGCGCAGTCACCTCTCCTGCTGTGGGCTCCTCCACAGGCTTCAGGTCGGCCTCTGCTCCACCGTGGATCTCCGTGGGTGGTAGGTGGGGTGGCCCTGCCGTCTCACCACGGCATACAGGGGTCTCTGCTCCCGTGCACCTCCCCTCTTCTTTCTCCTTCCTTCCACTGACTGCTGTGTCCATTCTTCTCGCAGCTCCTCCTCACAAGTCCCAAACCCCCTCGGGTTCCCCTTCGTAAATGCATTCTCGCAGAGGCGCAGCCGCCATCACTAATTGGCTCGGCCCTGGCCAGAGGTGGGTCTGACTTGGAGCCGGGGGAGCTTTTGAGCAGCTTCTCACAGGGGCCACTGCTGAAGCCCCCACCCCGCTACCAAAAACCCTGCCACAGAAACCCAGCACCAATCCTTATGTATTCCAGACACCTCTTGGCACCCTTTCCTCTCTCATCAGCATAGACCAAAAAAATAGTACACAAAAAAATAACAGAAAGGCTGACATCAAAAAAAGTGAGAATGAAACTACAGCGTATTAGTTTGACTTGTCAAAACAAAAGAGGAGTATTTTTTGGCACCTTAGCTACAAACATATCCATATTGCTCCATAATTTTACCGAGTGCTTTTTCCTCAGCTGTGCACAAGGGTAAAATTATCATGGTGTGTAACATGACTCTCCTTTATGTAGCTGAGGGAAAAAGTGCATGGTATTATTATGGTGTACTCTCTCTGAGGGTTTCGTTGGAGTCACAAAACAAATATTCCAGGAGGTGTCATGGATTTAATATGTTTGTGATTATAAAGATTAAGATGGGGAAAATCCAGAAGGTATGTTGCTGGTGAGAAGAGCTTCTGTAAGCAGATACAAAGGACTGAGCTTTGGCATGTCTGTCAGTTAAACTTAACCCAAGTTCTAGCAAAAAAAAAAAAGTTTCAATCTATCTTCTTTTCAACAGATTCCTTTGGAGACCAGCTAGATTTTTGGTGAAAATTACAACTTCTGCTATTTCTTTTTTCCCCCCTCCTTAGTACTCAGAGAAATTAGATATATCAGCTTTGACGTCAGCAGTCAATGTTTATCCAGATGAAAACAACTCTGCACATTTCATCCTGATGCTGCCAAATGGGGAACTTGAACTGAAGGTAAGATGAGGAAAGCTGTGATTTGTAAGCCACTCAGTATTTTACTCTGTCTTGCACAGATATTCAGAGCTCCATTTCAGTGCAGGGGACAAGCTGCCTTCTTGACATCCAAGTGTACAACCTGCAGCCAGACAGCACCAAAAGGCAGTCAGAGAGAGAGGCAGGGCATAGGAACCTAACGTCAGGGAAACTCCCCCCTAAGGCATTAGAAGTTTTTCTCAGAAGCATCTGGAAATATGAAACAAGCAAAGAACTAAATAAGAAAATATACAAGAGAAACCAGGAAGTAGCCACAGTACCTGACAGGCCCACCTCACCTGTAAAACCAAGAAGGGGATAAAATATCTGACCACCCCACCATTCAGAAGCCATACAGACTGCAGTGCTCTGCGACTATCGAGAAGGTTTTATATTGAGACTCACCTATCTCCTTAGCATAGCTTTCTTGGATCCACATAACCTTCTCCTTTCACCCCAGCAGAGCATATGATTTTTTTTACCTTCCCACCTCTGTCCTTTCCCCTTAATTGAACATGGAGTACTGGGGAAGTGCAGAGTTTCAGGGTGTGATGGAGCTTGGCAGGGACCTCATTTCCAGGCATGGTACTTCTAAAAGGGTGAGAATTATCTGAGGCTTCCTCATGAAATATCACACTTCTGTTGTTGCTGTAGTTGTTCTTACACCATCATTTTCTGTTCTCTCAGGCTAATGACTACAAATGTGGGACAGAATGGAAGGGGTTTATTCTCACTGTAACAAAGGTATGGAAGAGTTTTGTTTTTTTTTTTTTTTTTTTTTTTTTTCCTGAGGAGAGCAGAATTCAGGCTGATTTAAGCCTACCTCATCTGCAATACACACTCGGCCACGGTACCCAGTCAGACACAGTTCCCAATCCACTGCTGCCCGGGAAGGAAAATACTTCTAGCACAAGTGCATCCCCTGCAGCTGTGAAAAAGGGGAGCCTGCTTCAAAAGAGACAACCCTCTAGGTCTTTCTCATGGGATAAAGACATAACCAAAGAAGTGGCCAAACGGCACACCTGAGAGAACCCCTCAGCCTTGTGTTTTATTTTACTATTCTCAACTAAAGGCACTTTGAAGATAACATGACTCTCTTTGATAATGACCAGTGGAAAAATAAAGGAAGTTTGCTCACAAATGACTTCACATTGGCCCAGCTGTATCACTTCAAAAGCTGAAGATGGCTGAAATAGGTTAAATTTCATTGACACAGCCTTCTACGGTATAGCAACTGTGAAATGTTGTGTATTCTATCATTCCCACTTCTGTCAATGCACATTTCTTTTAAATCAGAACACAGATATCCTGATTTCACTATTCGAACAAAAACACAGGTACAGCATTTTATTCAAAGCAGAAGCATATCCAAACCTTCCAGATTATCTCAGCTGCTTAAACGAAGCAGGTAAGAAAGATTTCTGCACAGCAGCTGTGCTCAGAGATTAGCTATGATGTGCACACAAAAACGATTGCTCACAATGCTTGTCCGCTCTTTCATTTTCTTTACAATTACTCTGTTCATTTTCAGCTGTCAGTTCCACCAGATGAGTCATTAGTGCCTGGGCAACTCACAAGAATGCATGAGGTGCTAGAGAAGGAAAAGAAAAGAAGGATTACGCTCAACAACTGTTCCAGCGCATCCTTGAACACAAAAAGCCCTCCCAGCAGTACACTGACCACTATGCCAGCGTAAGCTCTGACTGAACTATGCAAACCCCAACCTGACTAAAGAGACTTCCCTTCTTCTTTATGAGTATTATTCCCATGCAGAGTTCAAAATTCAGCTGTTGTACAAGGGGTGTGTAATATTCAGTGAACAAAACCTACCATAAGGACTTTATAGAGATTTCCTAAGGGAAAGATTATTCCTGCAGCTTTCCTACAGTGCCTTTTGTTTTGAAAAGGCTGAGTGCAGCGGATTGCTGTGCTTTAAAAAATGTTCAGAAAGCCACATGTTGGGCTGCTGTATCTGCCCTTCTGAGATAATGCTGATTACCAGCGAGAAATTCAAGGTAAATCCAGGTTACTCTTCTCACATTCTTTCCAGTGGTCCAGAAAGCATCATACCTGTATGAAAGCTTCACTTTCTCTCCAAGAAGGCCAAAGCACTGCTGTCCTGAATGATGCTCCTATAGTAGCATTCCTCAGTGTCGTGGTTTAGGCCTGGTTGGCAGCCAACCACAATGCAGCAGCTCTCTCTCCCTTCCCCTCCGGCAATGAGAAGGGACAGAGAGCCAGGCTTGGGGTTCAAGATAGGACTGGGATGGGGAGAAATTCCCCTTTATGATCACGAGCAAAAGGCAGACTCGTTAAGGGGAGGAAAAAAACCCATACATTTATTACAGACACTAACAACACATAACAGGGTAGGACAGTGAGAGGCATTGCCCCATCTTGAGAACACCTTCCCCCCACCCCTCCCTTCTTCCCGGGCTCAGCTCTGCTCCCGATATCTCTACCTCCTCCCCCAGTGGCGCAGGGGCAGGGAATGGGGGGTGCAGTCAGCGCTGCCACTTCCTTCATCTTCGGTGAGGGGAGTGTCCAAAACTTGTTCCTCCTGCTCCATCGTGGTCCCCCTCTCACAGCAGACAGTCCTCCACAAACTTTCTCCAACTTGAATTCCTCCCATGGGCCGCAGCGTTCCCCACACTGCTCCGTCATGGGTCACTAACTTCCTCCGACTGGATTCCCTCCCACGGCTGCAGCCCTTCCCGGGCTGCTCCGGCGTGGGACTCCCCCGCATGCTGCAATCCTCCCAGCACTGAATTACAGCAACGGGGCTGCCTTTTCCCATGAGACCCCGGCCTGCTTCAGGCACAGAACCTTGATCATGCAAGCAGAAGCCACAGGCCATAAATCAATGTCTGCTCCACTGTAGATCTTCATGGGTGGCAGGGGGGGGCCGCCCTGCCGTCTCCCCACAGGATACAGGGGGGTCTCTGCTCCAGCACACCTCCCCCCTCCTTTCTTCCTCCGTTCCTCCACTGACCTTGGTGTTCATGCAGCTGCAGCGACTCCTCCTCACAAGTCCCACTGCCCGTCACCACGTCCCTTCTTAAATACGTTATCGCAGAGGCGCAGCCGATTGGCTCAATTTCCCAAACAGAAGTGGAGCTGACGTGGAGCTGGGGGAGCTTCGAGAAGCTTTTCACAGGGGGCCGCCCCGATAGCCCCCTCCCCTGCCACCAAAAAACTCCACCACTCACTCAACCCAGGACACTCAGCTAGAGTCCTTAGATGTCATCCTGCCTCCTGGCAGCCACAGCTAGTTACCCTGGATGAGCCGGGCATTGTGAAGAGGTGTTGGCCCGGCAGAGCGCGTCTCTTCACGCAGCTCAAAATGACGTGGCCTTGCCGGCGTCACTCGCAATCATGGCGTTGGTCTCCTCCCTTCTGTGCAGGTGCTTCCATGCAGTGTCTCGGCAAGAAGCGACAGAGATGTTGGAAAAGAACCCTTCGTGGGGGAATCTGATCCTGCGCCCTGGCAGCGACAGCAAGAACTACGCAATCACTATCCGATATGAGCTGAAGTAAGTTGATTCCACATCATCCCACTCTTAACTAGTATCCACTGTATTAAAAGATGGATTCTTAATACCCTGAGTTGACACGTGAAACACAGGCCTTGCCTTCAGGCTATTTTGACGAGGGCAAGTGAAGCAGCAAGGGCAGGCCCAAGACCGATTTCTTTGTTCTCTCTTCCTCCAAAGCCAACTAGATGAAACAAAAAAGCAATAAAGATCAGCCAGCAAAAGCCCTTTTCCTTGGGTAAATGGACTTCCCCTGCTTGCCATGAAACACTACTCCATTTAAGAAATCATCATGCAGAGAGACTGAAACAAGCCATACCCCTTTGTAAAACGAAGAAAAAATTAGAGACAAGTATTTTCAAACAATAACTTAGTCTAAAAACACACCCCGTTTCAAGTGAATTGCCACGTTTTAGCTTTTGCAGAGCTTCAAAACAAGAGGCATCTGAGACACCAGGAATGACATTTGCAATTCTCAGTGTTTCTAAACTAAAAATGGGAAAAAATAAACCGTGCCACACACCTTCAATAAACTCTGAGGATATTAGAAAGCACACCAACCACTCCTGCAAAGGAATTTTATAATGACAATGATACATCTGAAAGTATTTCATTTCAGCCAGTGTTTCAACTTTCATTTTCTTTCAGTGCCCCACAGTTAAAGCACTACAGAGTGATATCCAAAGGAACAAGTTACGTTATCGAATTGGAAAGACGGGTAAGTGAGCAATTCCCTTGTTGAAGATTCTTAAGCAGCTGTAAGAAACATCACTTTACAGAAAATTAGAAAAGCTCTAGGAAATTCTTAACTATAACTTGTACTTCAAAGTAAAGCATGCAGGGAGTTCACCTCGTTAGTCCAACTAACGTAATCTCAAAGAACAAGTTATCTTTTAAGAACTAGAAAAGTAGGGAAGAAGCCCCGCAGCAGCATCTTCTAACAAAAACAAAATCAAACCACTCAAAACACGCATGATTGCTTCATTTTTTTTTTTTTTTTTAAACTCAGGATTCAGCACTGTTTGAAAACTGAGCTCTCATTGCGGCTAGAAGTTGTTCAAAATGCACTCTATGTAACTTTGAGAAATACCATTAACTCAGTTTAAGTGTGAGCAAGTCTATATGGACCCTGTTATTTGGTTTGAAACGGTTTTCTTTCACTTACCTTAAGACACGTTTAACTCACGGCCTGAGAAAACATCCTATCGGTTTGAAAAAGCACCTGCTGTTACACCATCAGCTGAAAGAGCACAGCAGTACAAAGAGCTCTTTTTACTCATTTGATGGGAGGGAAGGAATTATAGGGCCAATGGTCAAAACGTTACCACAGATTGCAGAGGGCTGTCCTAGACTTCACTGCATCCAAACGCTGAACGTAAATCCAGCATCACTTGTTGGAGGAACATTGCTAGGGATCCCAGCCTGCCAGCATGGTTTTGAAAATGTATTCTCAACAAACTCAGCATGTTTTATTTGGTGGGGATTTTTTGTGGGTTGTTTTGTTTTGGTTTGGTTTTTTTTCTGGTTGTTTTGGTGAAACAGGTGACACTCCCAAGCCTTCAGGATGTTGTCAGTTACTTTGTGACCCAAACGCGAGGGAACCTGAAGCCATTTGTCATACAGACACGTGCTGCAGAGGACCCGGCGTTCTGAAAGCAAGCTGGTTGCTTCAGGCACACACAGGAACAGTCCTGCTAAAAGAAAGAGGCACAAGAAGCAGCACACAAACTTCACACGACTGAAGATAAACAGAAAGCATTCCCTAAGCTACTCTTTTTCAATCAACGCAACAGCTCTGTTGGCCCTAAACGAAGAAGGTGATGCAGCTTCTCCTACAGAAACTTGAGCTATGGGAAGGGCAAATAACCCCAATTCCTGTAGAAGATCAAATATCGATAAAGAGACAAGAGTAGGAAAGAGAAGACACAATGCCCCTGCAAAATGCAATGGAAAAATATTGTGTTGAAATTAGGCAGATAGTAGTTATGTGCTCAATCCTGTCACTAGCTCACAGTGCTATAAACTCTGTGTTAAAAACCTAATTTCTTGTCTACTTACTTGTAAAAGTACCAGGGCCATTTATGTCATCCCACAGACACAGCAGGGCTGCCTCACCTCTGCTGAGGCTTTGAGCACTGCCAGCGAGGTGCAGTACAGACAAAAAAAGCAGAAAATACAAGTCTGAGTAGCTTAAACTGGACGTTCCTGGTTCTCTGCAATGTCATGCAACCCTTACAGGAGCTGGAACATCCTGAGTAAGGTGGCGGGGGCATTTCCCATGTAATGCAACTGAGGCAGGGCATAAATTAAAGCATCTCCTGACCAGATGAACATTTCAACCCTTTTTACACGCAAGCAGGGGCATTCAGACCCTGCCGCGAGCTACTTTAGGAAACTAAACAAAAATAAGTTAGTGTCCCTGTTGGTTAAGCTCTCCTTCTTCATGGGCTGAAACAAGTCCCAGTGAGTGCGCAGCTGGTAACAAGGGAAGGCAGCAGGGCAAGCTGGAGCCCTGCTGATCATGCTGTATGGTTGTGGAATCCCACCAAACCTTAGGCACTGCATCCGTCTTCTTGGAAACTGGGGATCCAGCTTTCAAAACAAGCAACTGAAGCAATCAGCAGGATACAGGTTTAGTAACTTTAGCCTCTAAGTTCTGTCAGGCAACTGGACTGAATAAAATGCTTACAGGAGGGGTACCCACTGCTGAGCTACACTTCTTCATAGTTAGTGGAAACGACTAGCTCCAGAGCGTGGCTTTTGTCTTTTAAAAAACCCCAACCAAATAAGCTGCACCTCTTCTCTGACCATGGTGGGGGGCATGCACACAGCTCAGCTGAGGACAGCTATGACCTAGGTACCGGAGCAGCTAGCGCCTTCACTACCCGCACAGGGAGTGCTCGAGCTAGAGTTGCTCTTATTTCCAGACCAAGATTGATCATCATGTTCCTCTGATATCAGCTGGGAATCACAAATAAATTATTACTTGTTTCAAGGATTATGGAAGTCAGTCAAGGCTTGGGAAAGTTATTTTAAAAGAATGTCCATATGTTTCTAAATAATAGATTATATGTGACCATATGAAGGCACACCTACATTATTTATAAAAGTATGACATGAGACTTCAGCACTTTCTTTTCATGAAAATATTTAAGATCACTTTGCGGAGATGGTGCTGCTCAGTATGCATCAGGTTAGAGTTGCAGCTTTTCCTCAGCAGGAAAGTGAAACTTGCGTGTTACTGTAAGAAGCCTGAACTTAATCCTTGTTCTCTGTATCGTACTTTTGTGATGCAAAATGATTCACTAACGAGCAAGACAGTTCTGCTGATGTTATCAGTGCTGTAACTCATGAAACCTTTAAGCTTGAGTCTCAGAAAACTTTCTGCAGTGTGGGTAAACACCCATGCTAGCTACTTCATCAACCACACAAAAGACACTAAAAACCACATTTACTAAAATAAACTCCTAAAAGGTATCTGCTCAAAACGTATCAACCTTTGGACAAAGGTTTAGATCGCTGCACTGTGCTGCAGCAGAGTATGCTTTCTGTAACTGCAAAACAGGTGATAATTAACACGATGGATAAACCTTTCAAGCTAATAAGCCAGTTGCACTTGGCTGAAACTCAGTTCCTTTCTTAAAACAACTGGCCTACAGACACATTGTTTCAAAGACACAAGATAAAATTAAGAACATGAACTTATCTAAAGCCTTTACTTATGTTTGATACAAGTCAGACAGATATACAAACTCTCTGCCTGGCTCAAACATAGTTTCAGGATGTGAGATGCTGTGACAAGGTGAGAGAATTTCTGCATTAACACAGGCCCAGCTGGTACCAGAGTAGTTCTTTATATGTAGTCATTATTCCTGAATAGCACTTAAAAAAAAAACCCTAAACTGCTACAACATTCACATATTCACCATACATTGGAAAAGGGGGAGCAAAAAGCTGAAAATGTGTACTTTTTACTCCTTTTATAGGTAAAGTCTTAAATCCATCAGATCTGCCAAAACAGCTTTGTCAACAGCCGCATGATCTGCACACAGAATCCTCACTCTTCCTGGCACTAAAGAAACACGGAGATTAACCACAGGCAACAGTTGAGCTGGGTGCTGAATGCCTCATGTTTTACATGCACAAACATTCCCGCAACTTAAGCATGTGAGAAATTAAGATAAAACCAGTATAAATATTGGCAAACTCTGTAAGAAAGCATTTGAGTGAGAAAGATCTTTAATATGGGTATAAAAACTTCATCTCTGCAAGCCAAGTGCTCTTTCAAAGAATAAAATTTTGAAGGAAAGAGATTCAAAGCATTCTAGTGGATAGTTCTTCACTGCTGCAGGGAGATGGCTAGCTCTAGCTGCTCCACAGGAATAGATCAAACAGTCCTAGACACACACAAAAGCTTTCATTACAATGAAAGAAAAAAAAAGCACTTCTCAGCTTCCAGGTAGTGCTATGAGCCTCTGCACTGGTAGTGACAACGCTGGAGATCTGGAAGACCAGCACTCCAACATTCACTTGCCCAGTTTGAGCGAGCGCTTTTACTGTGATCATGTGGAGCACTTGCCGAGGCTTTTCATAAAAAGCAGCAACAGATTGAGAAATGGGCTGTATCAAACACAAATTCATACTGAATTGGCTCACTCCACTCTGCTCAACCTTCCATATAAACATAGTCACTCTCTGTATCAGCAATTCAGAAAGTTTTAAAACATGAAAAACCATTTTAGAGAGCCACTTGACATGCACACTTCTTCCAAGTAAAGCCCTCTTTAGGTTATTATTTGTAAGATTTTACCTAGGTTAACTTATATCCAGAAAATTTTAAAGGTCTGGTAATTTATATCCAGAAAATTTTAAAGGTCTGGTAATAAATATCTAGAACCATTGTGCATTTTCAGTTTTTCCATCAGCAACTGTTTAACTGAGCAGAGCCCATCCACAGAACATCCATCTATCCAACAGATACACCCAATATGAGCAGTATAGAGGTAACAGCCATGTCTCTGAATTCTGGCCCCAATCCCTGCCAACCTCGACATGGAATTTTTGGCAAGGGTCTCACAAAACTGCATGCGTAGTCATTAATAGAAGTCATTCCATTAATTACATCTGAAAATTTACTTTAAACCCTGAGGACCACCCAATGGCATTTTAGCAAAGCACTGAGACTACTATTTTTATACGCTACTTTGAAAGTGTAAGCATGCTGTGAACACCACACTAATGTACCAGAGTGTAACTACTCAGTTTCACGTTTCCCAATCTCCAACTGTGAGAAGTAGCAGTGCTTTCAACTTGACCTACAATTTAATAGAACCTTAGCACTAATTAGTGATTTCAGTTAAGAGTTCAGATTCTAATACTCTGCCACAGTGAAATACATTTTAGTTGTTACTTAGAAGTGGAAACACTGTCTGCTTTTGCCTTCTCTGCACTCTAAATGTAGTCATCTTTTTCCCGTTTCAAAAAGCTTCTTTAAAAGAAGTTCTTAAAAAAAAAAAATAAGGTAGTTTAGAAAGCAGTATTATTAATCTATAAAATTACATCTCTAAACTAGACTGACTGTAAAACTATATACACCTTCCAGAAGATATCCCACACGTAAGACTAAATCCCAAATATTGGAATAATTGTGTTGATTCCAGCTATTCGGTTCCATACATCTTGGCATTCAAGTTACCAGTCTAATAGCTGTTTTTCCTGACTTCAACTAACCAAGGGAAAAAAGGAGAGGTAAAATTCCTGACCAATAATGTTCATTAAATGTGAAGATATCCCTAAAACTTAAAAAAATATGATTGAGGATAAATAGCTAAGCTGTCAATCACTTTTGCAACAGCTGCAGGAGATAATGTGCAATCACGATCTCTAAAGCTTAAAACACACTGAAAGGTTTTCCAGCTCAGGTATTTATTCGAACCACACTTCACTCTACCGTCATTGGGAGAAAAAAAAAGAACTCAGCTCATCTATCCAGTGTTTAAATGATAAGGGAAAATAAGGTGGTGTCACAGATATTTCTGTAAAGCACCTCTGTCTCACTACAGCAGCAAAGCAAGTTCCTAATTATTTCTGATTAAGTGGGTTCTTTATACTTAGATATCCTAGTAACTGACCAATGATAAAAACCTCAGTGTTCAGTGCAACTCAGACTTGTGCTGTGGACAGGTGTACAGCATAACATAACCATTTGCTATAAGGAAATGGTGCCAAAAGGAACAGCTGAGGAAACAGTGTTTGCTATGACAAACATCCAGAGCCACTTTTCCTCCTTTCAAAGTCATCATTTGCTACAGTGTTTTTAATCTGGTGAGAGCAGACAGGCTCAACCACACCAAACATACTATTTTTCTTGAAGACAAAGTTTTATTGTTGAAAGTGTTAACTCAGCTTTCTGATAGGTTTCCACTTTCCCCCATATTGCAGTATTCCCCAAAGAACAGTCTTAGTGCAGATACTCAACAATTCCAGCTCTCTTGACTTCAGAAGCTGTGAAAATTTACACCTACTCACGACCTGCCTCCCGATGTTTCCATGTTGAGACTGACATAAGAGGTGCTCTGACACACAGCATCACTACCTGTGCAGATGAGAGCACCAACAAAGCAGTTAATCTGCTTTTAAGTGGGAGTTTAAACCTTCTGTATGGATTAAATCTCACATGTAGATGGCAAGAATGAAATTCTTGTTTGAGAATTAAGTAACATGAAAAGGATTTGAGATGTTCTCGGAACACCAGGAGTATCATAAAATGGCAGTTTCCCCATTTTTTGTATTCTTCTCTAAGCAGCATCTAATTTGCACATGGGGACCATTTGTTAGGTTCACCACTCTTCTTGCTTTCTTCGGCTCCCCACATATTAATACAAATCTTGTCTTTAAGATAAGAACCATACTGGACATTCCATCTCATGGAGTGACCAATCCTCCTCTGAGCAAACAGGTTTGAAGAAAACAGGAGCAGATGAAACATAAATCCAGTTTGTCTTCAGGGCAAAGCCACTGATTTTCACCGTTTGTTTTAATTAAGGCTTCACCAAAAAGAAATATATAGTACCATCTTTAATAGCTGAAAATTAGCACACTCCATTCAGAATAAAGGGTCCAGGAGTGACTTGTGTCTCTAGCATCAATTGTCTTCCTGAACAAAGTAGTATCTCACTGGTGGCCCTGGCAAGTCTTCCTCTCCATCAGTCTCTGGAGCAAATGATACTGTCAAATCCACATACTTCTTATCAGGTGATGGTTTCACAAGCTTTTGCATCCTACAAGGAAATGAAGAACAGTTTGTTAACATACCAGAAGGAGGATGGGCAGTGGGAATTCAGGGCCAGACTAGCATGAATTTCACTGTCATCAATGAAGCCCAACGTACTAGAAACCAGCCTAAAATAGAAAATAAGCCACCTTTTAATTTTGACACAAAAGCTGTTTCTCCACCTGAGGTACAGCAAATGGTGTTCCATTTTCTTGACAGACTTAGCCCCTTAGTGAGCTACTACACTGTTCACTAACGAGTGCTCAGTACAAAAGAGAAGAGAAAATGGCCAGTTTCAGATGGAATTCCTCACAGATGTAATTTCTCTTCAGCAACCTACTGAGCACAAGGCAAAGTTAACTTTCTGTGCAGGATTTTGGTCAATGAGGAGTAAGTCCTCCATCTACCAATAGTGGCTGGTTTTAATATGCTATTAGAGAGAACCACTCCAGTGCAGACACTAGGATATGCAGTTCCGATGGGACGTAATTCTGTTGGAGTTAAGACTTGTTAAGTCTTGAATTTCAAAGGTGAATAGCAATGAGGAGGGAAAAACAGCCAGGATCTAGGACTTCTTCCTTCATGACCACAATGTGAGTTTAAACTAGGTAAGTGTATCATGTCAGTGCAACTTCCCTCCTTTGCTGTCTGCAGTCTCAAAAGCTACAGCTATTGCTCAGAAGTTGCACAGTAAAATACTGAAGTAGAAGGTCAATCGGTGTCTCAAAATTATTTTATTGCCAACTCAGAGCGCTAGTTTGTGAGGCCAGCTCAAATGCTGGGGGAATACAGTCACTCATTTCTATTCCTCACAGATCACTTAGAGAAGGATTTCCCTTCTGGCTGTGCTTTAGCACACAGGTCAGAAAGCTGCTTTCCCCAAATACTTTTTCATTTGCAAGAACACAAAGCATTAGCCTCTTCTCAGCAGAGATACTGAGGTCATATCCACTTGCATGAAGATGCCCCAAGCTACACAGTAAAGCAGATAACTGTCTCTAAGACTCGTTTTTAAGGAGTATGCTACCAATCAATGCTGTAATTCTAAAACGAAGACAGTCTTGCAATGCTTGTCATATTACAGCGAGAGAAAGATTTTAAACACTTTAAGAAAAAACAAACACACAAGCAAGACCAGCGTTTGCTGTGCAAATACATCTTCTAAGGCTTTTGGGACTGTTTATAACAAAACCTCAAGTTGCTGTAACTATGTGGAAAGCTTGAACCAAGTCTCAGGACAGTAAGAAATCCTGATATTCACAAGAAGGCAGCTTCACATCATGCCTTTGACTTCGTTACACACTCCACTCATTCAAAATTACTTATACAGCTGTAGAGAAGGAATATTAACAACTGATTTTGAGATAGGCTGTAAACTGACATCCTAGTATGCTGGACACTCTAAAGGCAGTAGGAACTTAGAGGATCTTCTCTCCCTGGAAGTTTGAAGTAGCTTGCCCATAACATATACTTCTTTGCCTGACGTTCCCTACTGACAGACCTTTGAAACAGTACTGAGGAGATCTGGCTGTTACTTTGCAAAGGCCTATCAGTCAAAAAATCAATGCCCCGCCCTCACACCCTCCCAAACTTCCCATTTGTTATAACCCAGTTTCCTGTCAGTGAGCAGCACTGCAAAGCCTTGTGAATAGGCCATTTACAAATGAAGACAAAGTGAACTAGAATCTCAAGGAATTACTATGAATGGAACAGACTTCGAGAAATCTCAATCTGCAACCAATACATTCACTGCTCCCCGAATAAGTTTTCTCATTCTTTCAGAGCTAAGTTGCTAAATATCACCATTAGTTTTAAGCCAGTGTAAAAAGGTTTGATTAGTCTTGTTCTGCTTGAACCAAGGTACATTCCTTCCCAAAAGACCTGTCAGACTTCTTTGTGTTTCTCATCCTGGCATTCATCAATTAGAGTAGCATTTTGTAAGCCTCCTGTCCTTACCACAGAAGTTAATTCACTTTCCCTTTTTTGATTTTTTTTTTCCCCCCAAAAGGAGGAAATCATCTTCTTTCTTTCCCAAATATCAATGACTAGCAACAATGAGCTTGAGAGAAAACATTGCTGTCAAACACAGGTCCTTATGATACAACCAGTGAACATGCACTCGCATCGTTCAAGCCATTTTCCAGTTATACTTACGTCAGCTTTAGTCTTTTAATGTGACCTGGCATCACAGGAACATACAGCATTTTGACTCCCTGCACAACCATAGTCGGTTCAATTCCATATTTCTCCTGGAATTCACCAATTAAAATTTATTAAAGGACTAAGACAACTGCACAAGCCAGCAGATACTACTATGGCTAATACCACAACTAATTATTCAAAACCATAGCATCCCAACCAGAAAACTTGCTAGTGCATAGACATTGACAGAAGTTTTATTAAGATATATTTGAGCCAATCAAACTAACAAAGAATTTTAAAATAGCCTTGAATGTGCTTACTTAGACATCCTCATTGACATTAATTCTTTCTAGAATTACTCTGCTTTGACCATTAACTTGATAAAAGAAAAAAAAAAAACCAACCAGCTAACAAAACCAAAAAAACCCTAAACCAGCAACCCAAAACAAGAAAAACCTTTCCTCTCATCTTGTATTAACCCAGTACAGCTGATAACTTACTCTGACAGCATTTATGAAGTCCAACAGAGTGAAATCCTCTTTCCCATAAATTGTCCACCTGTCCCAGATTGTAAATGATATCCCATTTCTGTTTTAAAAAGAGAAAGGTTGTTTGTTACTTCAGAACATAAACTCAGGCACTTCCTTTAAACATCTATTGAAGAACTGCTATGTATTCTAGAGGCTTGCTGGTTTATCCCGAGCAAAAACCTCTTCCCTCTCTGCTGCCATTTCTCCAGCCCTTCGATCTGTCTAAGCACAAGACACAGCAAGAACTCCAAGTAAACATAGTATCTGGCAATGAACTTACTGAGTTTTCAGACCTACTGAAAAATAGCTCTTGTATTTACAAAGATGCAGAAGCGTGTCCAGTCTGTGCAGACAGGATGTTTATTAATAATCATGCTGCGTATCTAGCTCATTTAGATTTTTAAAGCCTCAGTGGCAACAGCTTCTACTGAAAACAAAACTAAGCCCTTAAAACCACTATATTTAAAATTAGGACAGAAGAGTGTGTGCTGCATTTTCCAAGCAGGAAGCTCTTCAGCAAAGCATTATGGGACACCCTTGGCACTACTAAGAATATCACACCTTTAGCAGAATGTAGTATATGGGTAACAGAGTTTGACAGCAAGTACTAAGTGATTCATGATCTTCTGAGTTTAAACAACAACAACAAAAAAATAACCTTGGATATCTATAGCATTTAGTTGGAGTATGACCATGAACTGTGGTTCCATCATAGTTCTGCTACACGAGCACATAAAGGCTACATCTGGTTATGTGGACTTAAAAACCGCACAAATTTCACACTTGTTGTAATGGCTCACCAAGTTCTAAGCATCAATTAACATGTTTCCAAATACTGCCCTTCTGCTGTTGTCCTTCCTACCTGATTTCTGTTCTTCTTACTTCAGCAGTTTCTGTAAAGACCATTATGGGAATGGCTAGGTTCAAAAAACAGTTCTTGTATGCATCAGCTGGGTAGCCACCCACAACTTTAATGAGTTCCAGAGCAACCTGCAGTAAATAAGAATCCCATGCTACCGTGAGACCAAACAGAGGTTTCAGGTACTGTGTTATCAACACTAGTTCAGTTAAGGAGCCAGCAACTTCAGAGGATGTTATTAATGAGATCAGCTGTCCAACTGGCAGAGTAAATCACATCTGGAAATGCAACCCAATATGCCACAGAAATAAATTCCATTGCTGCTAATGAAAATATTTAAAATATCCAAAGTGTTCCTAATGTAGGACTCTTCCAATATTGTTTAATTCAAGGCAACTCCACAAAGTATACAGTTCTGTTGAGGTGTATGGATGTAAACTACTACAGAACAGATCCTTTCCACTCTTGGCAGTGGCACACTGATGGAAGTTAGTATTAATTGCAGAAGATAAACCAAAATCCTGATTTCCAACTCCTCTTTCTGGTCAGCAAATCAGACATAAAGAACCAAGGGCTTACATGAGAAAAAAAGATTATTAAGTTTGAAACACACACATTTCTTTAACGAGGCTCTATCAGGGTAATGCTAATCAATATCTAGGCAACAGTGGTTTTGGGCAAGGAACAGTAAGAGAAAGGAATATGCATTTTAAAAATCATACTTACCAGCCCTGATACTGCAGCAGTAGCTGTTGCAATTGCAGGAATAATCTTTCCAGCAATGCGCTTTGTTTTGAAACGATCTGCTGGTTCAATATTGTACATCTTGGCTCGCAAGTTTGATGCTGCTGTTATGAAATCTATATGCCCATTACTATCATCATCTTTTTCAAAGGAGATGGGCTTCATTTGCAAGTCATCTGCTCATTCAGGAAAAAAAAAAAAAAGAGCAAAAATTATTATTAGAAAACTGAAGATGTTCTAAACGTAAGTTATAGGGAACTAGAAACTTAAATTAAAAATTCCACATTCTGGAGCTTGGTCTCCTTGCTAGAAGCAGAAATGCTCCTATCAATTAAAGTTGTTAAAAGTGAGTAGTAAAAGAAATATCAAGAGAGCTCCAGAATTTTATTTTCCTTGCAGGATTAGATTTTGGACAGTCCTATAAATGTTTCTTATACACCCCATCTCGCTATAGCTCTATCCTGTGAGAATTCCCTCTAAGCGCTTTGTTTATCTGTAACCATTTCACTATGGACTCAGTAGTGTGGAAGACAGGGGTTGGGGTTGACACTCCACGACATGGGTTAGA